TCGTCGCTGGGTGAAAATGAATGGGAAGATCTTGACTCGGCGATCATTCACGTGTTATGAGAGCAAATCAATCAATTGGAGGTGTTTATGGGTGATCATACGATCGTGATTTGATTGCTCGACACCGGTAGACCGCCAGTGGGAAAAGGAGGAGGAGGAACAAATTGTCGCATGGCGCGGAAAAAAGCTCTCTTGCTGAACACTTGTCACACCGATGCTGAGTGGAAATTCCAACACGACGGAATGCGCGTCAAGTGGACGGCTGGCGGGGGGAGACAGATCACGACCGCCGTGTTGGATGAGCGATTGCGATCGCGACAAAAAGGGGATGATGGAATGTTGTGGCAATTCATGCACTCGCCAGAGACAATCTCTCCATTCAGTCGCGCTCCAAATAGGGCTTAGAATTGAAAGGGAAAATTTTGATGTGTGTGCCAATCGGTGAATTTTGTGTGCCTTCTGCCAAACTGCTTGATCACCGTTGACGATCACGATCGCGGTGAAAATATTCTGCCTTCTTTTTCGGCACGGCCAAATCGTGCCAATTAGAGGCAATATTGTCTCTCCGCCGCGTGATTTTCTCAGGCTGACTTCAATGAAAGTCCACGCACGGATCTTTCTTTCTCTCTCTCTTCCCGAAGTCAGTGTCTCGTGGGTGATCTTCCGCCCCACCTCTGCCGGATGATTGTCATGTGGGCATCGCATAGATCCAAGACACAGAGCCGGAGGAGTGGAATCGACGCGCGAGATGCACTTGTCGGAGGCGGAACTGTCTGGCCAAATGCTAAATCCATCAACTCCACATTTTGAATGATGAAGTCTGTGGCTCTGCTTCCCATCCATTGAGTTTCCCCACACTTGACTTCATCAATGGACGCACAAAAGGCCACTTTTCACTAATAAATTATGCTGATTGATCTTGTATATTTATGGCGCACAAGGTGGATGTTAATATACCAATTTCTTTTTACTAAACATCCACAATGATTAATCAGGCGGGCATTTTATTGCGGGACCCTCGCGGAGAGAGTGTTGAGTGACCTGAGAAAGTTCCCGGCGATCGTTCTGGTGCGCTTCTTCAATGGTGATCATCAGTGATGTTCGTGGTGTTTGCCAAATCGAATGAATGAAGCGATAAAATGTATCAATTTGCACCGCATTGGGGAACATTAAAATGCTAATTTGAGCCACTCTCAGGTGGGACGATCATCATCGATCGCCTCATTATGCTCATATTGGTCAAGTCTAATTTGCTCTCTCTCATCTCACTCGGGTTCGCCCAATCGCCAAATGTTCACCCATAAAAATTCCAGCCAATTTGCATATATACGCCGATGAGAGATTAAATGCCGTGGCATCGCCTGCCGCAGGGCGATCGCAGGCCCATCGCAGGCGTTGATCATTTCTCCTGTCTGGACGGTACTTTATCATTTGGGTGTGCGAAAGTCCCTCGAGTGATGTGCGTGTGTGAAGTGATTCACGAGATCACAATCAGGCAGCATTGGTGATCTCGATTGAGTGCCGCACTGGATGCCTTCGAGCTCTTCATTCATCTTTCCGCGATCTGTGTGCGCCGTTAAAGAGCGCGACGACGTTTCGGTATTCAATAAATTCGAACAAGTGCGTGATCCTCATGCGCTTGGGCAACATTTTGACCAATTGATGTGGGAATTCGCCGTCTTTCTTCACCGCCATCGAACCTGTTTGATGAGTTATTGAGTACGCAGAGCTTCTCTGTATATATGAGATATATTTTTGACGATTCTGATCCTCTTGCAATCTCGGCAGCGTCGTCTTCGAGATGTCGGATTGTGTGGCACACAATTTGCCTCCCAAGAGGCGAATTGATAACGCATGAGAATAAATCATGTCACGGTGTCATAAAGCGCTCAAGCAGCGATCCTGCTGTCAACCCGACCGCCGATCACAACAGAGGAACGGCCAGAGACAAGAATCTCGTCAATAAATCAACAAAATTCCGCGCAAGGTGAGAGACAGGGTAAAAAAGAGCCACCACAGCTCTCGATTCGACGACATTGAAGCAATCCGGAGGAGGAAGTCGAGCGGCCTGGCCAAGGCGGGGCCCGTGTGATTGCGGGAGAGAAACACTGTGTTGTGTCACTGAGTCAGACGGCGCCAAAAATCAACAGGTTTGGCGGCTTGTGTCCATTGTGAGAGTGCAAGAATATGCCACAGGCGCACTGCAAGTCTACGCGATCAGCAACTAATGGGAGGTGTGCATTTTTCTCCGCCGGTCGATCTCTTTTGTGATCATTGCATATTAATGGCATAATTTCATTGTCACACACCGGCATCCGTTGTGATTCAAACCGCTCGCGCGCGCCTCACAATGGGAAATATGATAATTTATTGTTTTTTGGCGCGCAATTTCGCCCCTCATCTGGCCAGGCAAGACGAATGACTTTATGTTTCAATTAATGAAAAGATATGGGCCGTCCTGCGATTAATTTGAATAATACAGCTGAGATTGTCGCAGGCTGGCGGGAAAAAGCACACCTCTCGCGACTGCTTATCCGCTGAATCATATCCACATGTTCAAGAAATTCAGGTGAGATATACAGTGCCTCTGAGATACCTAAGTACACTGCAGTCTTGACTATTTGTAGCCGAACGTGAATTTAGGGTGACTTTTACCCGCTTTAGCAGTGATCGAGATGATTTTCTTCCCAAATCACTTGGAGAAACACTTTTAAGCATTGTTTTCGGCTAAAAATCAAGCTAAAAATAGTCTAAATCGAAAGGCAATGGTTTAATTAGTAGTTAAAAGCACGATTTGGCGCACTAAAATAGATTAAAAATTTGAGAAACAAATTTCCATTGGGCACAACGCTCAATTGAAGCATTTTCCACAACTTGTTGAATTCAATTCATTTAGTTAATTCAATTTAGTTAGACTCAAGTAAATTCTCGGCACTGTGCTTCGCTCTAGCATGTCAAGTGACGCTCTAGACTAGAGAGCTCGTCCCGCGCAAGAGGAGTGTCACGACGCGTCACTCTGTCACGCGTGGAGTGAAAAGTGCCAGGGTGGATTTATGAACTGATTGTGGCGAGAGTGCGTCACTCACTGTGAATATGTCATAAACATGCTAAGCGTGAATTAATAACCAAATCCAGGTTAACTGAGCAAATCGCTGATCTCGACTCCGCGTGAAAATCCCTCCCTCCGCAACTGCCGAGAGTGAATTCCGCTGCAGATCGTTCAATTACACAATATTATTTATAAATAATTTTTGCGGCACACATAACATAAATCCTAGCCTGTGACTCATGAGATCTTTGCACAATGTTTTCGTCTACGTGCCTTTTTCGTTTGATGGCCGGAAAACAAGCGGGAAATCCATGATTTTGCGGCACAAATGAAGACAAAGACTTCCCCAAAAAAATAAAAACATCAGCGCACTATTTTATTGATTTTATTGGGATTCGTTGCCAAAAGTGAAATTGATCTTCAAAAATCTTCACAGCAGAAATATTCAGCGCCGAGATCAGCGCGATCAATGAGGAGAGAGTCATTGCGGTGGCGTTGTAGAGTTTATGGGTGGATTTAGGGAAATGGACAACTCCATTCCTAGATTTTATTGCATTATGTAAAAGCTATTTTACAAATCTGCACCCATAAAATACCACCGAGAGCAGATAAGGACGGATAATGTCTGTGTTAGCGGACGCACCGCAAATGCGGAGCGCGCGATCGTCCGAAAAAAGGCAACATAGTTGCGCCGCGACTCGCGAGATCCCCAGCAATTGAGAGGCTCTCCATCGCTGCACCCCAGCCATTGCGTGGGATAATGCATCTCCGATGCCCTGCGCGTGCCTTTTTTCCCATCCACCTCCACACCGAAGCCGATGTTCACGTGCCAAAATGGCCAGAGCAAGTGATCTCTGAGGCTTTTTTCCCTTCTGCGCGCCTCTCGCGGCGACGAAGGTTGGTCTATTTCTGATTTACAATCGCGCCTCGCCACTCGTGGTATTTATTGGTTCACTGATAGTGGCTTTGAAACAAGGGAAAAAAAAACTGCCGCAGTTGAGATGTTAATTTCAGTCGCAGCACAAACACTGGATTTCAGTGTTTTCCACGCACGACAACATCTCAGGCAGACGAATATTTACCACAAAGTGCGAGTCGACTGTTGTAGATCAAATGCCTGTATAATATTGAATTTATATGCGTTTTGGGCGCGTCCAAGAGGGATGTTTAATAGAAAAATATAAAATTCCGCAATCTGCCCTGCTGAATTTGAGGGATTTCACGCTTTTGAATGCTAATTCTTCTGCAAAAGTGTACAAATTTCAAACAACCGTTTTTAACCGCTCTGAAAAGCCTTAAATAATTTTAGATTGATTTTGTTAAGGGTTTTGTAAGGTTTAATTCAGGGGGGAGATAATATGGCTACAATTTTTACACACTCTTTCTGACATTTCCAACATTTCTTAGGCAATTGGACCAATTAGACAGTCTTGATTTCATCAGCCTGAAAACTTTATTATCAGCTTATCAAATAGAAGCATTGCAAATATTGAAACAATTCCACTTCTTAAGTACTTCTACGGAACTGTTCACCATTTCTGAATGAATATAATATCTTCCTCTTTGGTTTAAGTCCTCGCAATCATTCAAAGTTTCCCCTTCTGTTGAACAAAGCGAAGGGGAAATTGAAAAATCACCAAAACGCCGAAATGCAGACTTCCGAGCACTTCGGATGAGCGAATCGACAAATCCTTTTTTCGCGCTCACGCAGAATTTGCGCAATTTTCACTTTTCAGCGGCGACAGTAAAATCCACGTGAACTCATGTGGCGGAGAGTAAAAAGCACGCCTCGGCGCATTGTGCATTGTTCCAGCAGCGATGAGTCACGGCGCAGCATAAATCGACAGGTGATTCTAGTCATATGATTTGTGTCTCTCGCGCCCACGCCGTCAATCAGAGAGACTCCACAAGGCACGTGGGCCCCAAGAAATGCAACACTGGGATTTCTCTCTCTCTCGCTTTATTCATTTTCCTCATGTTCTGCGACACCAAAATGTGAACACAAAATCTTACAATGAAAGTCACTCGACGAAGAACATTAATTGTACGAGAAACTATTAAGTGTTTTATCTTTCTTTCTTCTCCTCTTTTTTCTAATATCATTCTGAGATTGCCGTGAAAAGATCCATTGAGACTCCTTTGAATTTTCCTAAACTAAAAAATCTCTATAAAACAATAAAACATCTACACTTCACACAAAAATATCTAATCGGCATGGCTAAAATCACCGTCGAGCACGATTTGCAGGGATGCCGAAATACAACAGGAGACTTTCTTATCGCCATTCGCATCGATAAATCGATCAAAAGGAGCTTAATAAGAATTTCCCGCTCTTCCAGGTCATCGAAACCACTAATGCTATAAGTTTGGTTTTCCAAAAAAAATAATATCCTACGATAAAGCAAAATATCTTCTAGTAAATTTGAGATTCAATTCTTTTCTAGGGTTTTCCTAAAGTTTTTTCCTACATTGCGAGGACGCTTCTAAATTCAATATTTTCTCATTTCACATAATCTTTTTGGTTTCCTATCAATTCTTTTTTGTAGTTCAATCAAGTCATAATTTTCTTTGAGATTCCTCCTGGTCAAATTCAGATCTTCGGCGTTTCCACTGAACGTAAACTAATATCACTGACCTTTGCGACATCCTGCAAAGCGCGCCGGAGCAAACAAAGTCACAATAAATAGTGCGATAATAAATACGTGCGCGCCTTCCTCGTCCTGGACGAGTTCCCAGAATTCGGCTACGTGTTGACGAGGAGGTGCGTGAAGAGATCGTGCAGGATGTAAGCCTTCTGCTCGTAGATCAGGGAGTTGAGGCCGTCCGTGTCGTAGCGCAGGTGTCCTGTGCGCAGGAAGGCGAGCCTGTCCTCGTTGGGCCTCTCTTTGGCATGCTTCAGCATCGTGTAGCGACTGTAGGCGGGATGGAAGCGGCAGATGTCGATGTCCTTCGCCTGCAGACGCCTGAAGAAGTCGTCATCCTCGCCACCCCAGCCGTTGAACATGTTCGACATGCCATTCACGTCCACGAAGGGCTTCGCCCGGATTGCCACGGCACCGCCGAAGAGGCCCAGATAGGGCAGATTGTAGCGGAATTGGTCCAGGCTGGCGCACATGTGGCGCGGCTGATGCGTGCACGCATACACCTGGCCCAGGCTCATCGGCAGCAGGTCCACGTCGTGCAGAACGAGACAGGGAAAGCCCAGCTTCATGGCGGCCACGGAACCGATGTTGAAGAGCTTGGCGCGATTGAAGGGCTTCCGGTCGAACTGCTCGACAATGAAGATGCGATAGTGGAGCCGCTGCTCGCGCAGGAAGTTGTGCATGTACGTGAGGAACTGGCGCAGCTGCACCTCCCTGTCCCGGTACACCACAATCACGGCCACGCTGTACTTGGGCGCACAATCCGGCGGAAAGTACTCGCCGCCGAGGCGAATGCTGCCCGGATGGTGCAGCTTGGCCAAGTACTCCTCCGTCAGCGTGTACTTGTTCCCGGCAATTATGTCTCCATACTCACACGCCTGCAGGCCCCTCTTCGTGATATTCCTCGTGGTCTGGGCCACCAGCTCCAGCTCCATGCGCTCCACCGGCAGCGCGACATAGTGCGTCGCGTACCTGTCCGGCCACAGGCAGTAGATCACAACGATTAGAAGGCAGACACACACGCAGTTCCTATCTGAGATTCTCCTCATCGTGACTCCCCAGCGGGTCACGTCGAAATATGCACCCGTGGTGATTCCCCTCACGCGGAATCCCACATTTTCGCAAACCACGAGTGCTTTTGTTTATTTTCCACCTGAGCAACTGACATTCCGGGCGTCCGGAAAGCGTCGATAAGGCAGCGCACAGCAGGGCCAAGTCCAGATGCTTCACCAACTTCACAGTAATGACTTTATTCTAGGCTCTTAAAATATTTCTACAATCTTCGCGCCCTCTTAGCTCTCAGTCCACCAGTCCAGAGAAGAAGTCCCGCGCGTTGGTGTACTTGGACGAGGGCAGATTGTATCCTGCATCCTTTGCAGGCATGTCATCGTCGAAGTCCTCGAAGTATTTGATGTTCCAGAAACGAACGTCGTTGTCGTGCGAACTGGAGGCGATGAATTCGCCCGTGTTGCTAATGTCCATTGTCTCCACAGCCAGATTGTGCTGTCCCACCACGCCCAGATTCCGTCCAGGCACTGTGTTCACCGCCCTCAGCAGCCCATCTTCGCACCCCAGCACGCCCATTCGCTGCGTGATGGGCAGCATGGCGTTGGTGGACGTCTTGGAGCCGTGAAAGACGTCGCAATGGTAGCCAAACTCGCCCCAGTTGAACGAGTACATGCGGCCTTTGGATGTGCCAACCACGAGCTTGGAGTCATTCCTGTACAGTCCCATGCACGTGAGCTCCTCCTCGTATTGCTCCGACTGCACGTACAACTTCCTGTGGAGAGGACAGTGGATTAGAAGGCGCTGGAGGAGGACAAACAGAGCCTCACCTTGCGCCAAGACTGATGGAAGTCAGATAGCCATCGCCGCTGGTCATCAAGAGAATCTTTTTGGAGTCATTCGAGTGAATACTGGAGATGTAGTCGCCCACCTCGCGCAGCGAGAACAGTGGCGCCTTGTCCTGTGTCCGAAGATCCCACACCTTCAGATGTCCATCGTCATCTCCAGTGGCGATGAGATTCTCATTAATTGGCCTCACGCAGTAAATCGCCGTCTCGTGCGCGCGATCGTAGAAGCGCCTCAGTTTCCCCGTCTTCACGTCCGTCACCATGATGCTCCTGTCCTTGGATGTGGAGTACAGCACATCTCCATCCTCGCTGAACTCCACATCCCGACACGCTTTCGTGTGCAGCTCGTACGTTTCCGCTATTGTGTTCTCCTCGAGAGAATATTTGTACAGAACAACATCGCCCGTGATGAGCGCCACGGCAAGGTGGTCTGAGATGGGATGGAAGGAGAGATCTGTGACAAATTCCTCCGTTTGGATGTCCTTTGGGTGATTTCGCGGCATCTTCACTTCACTAATAATTCGCTGGACTATTGCGTAGTCCTCATCCTCAGCGCCATCCATTGCCTCCATGGCGGGCTGTGGCGCCTCTAGGTCCACATCTTGTTCCTCCTGCTCCTCCTCCTCGCCCGAATCCGAGTCCATGTCCTCGTCAGACTCACAGCTGGACGGTTCGAAGTCCGAATCGCTATCTTGCGCCAGCTCAACATCCTCGGCTTCGCTGGCCATCTCGTTGATCACCTCCTCGGCAAAGTGCACCTCACCAATCACGTCAATCTCGTCGTCGTCCACGTCTACGTACTCTGGCTCATCGGGCTTGTAGAAGTCCCTCCTGGTGCGGGAAGTGTAAACAAAGTCGTGAAGACACTGCATGACTTCCATTTCCGCCGATACTCACATAGTTTGCCGGAACTCCTGCACGCATCTGACCACTCTGACCACCCGCAGCGATCCTGCACACTATGCTAGAGGGTATCTACTGCGGAAAATGAGTTTTCAGGAGGTGAAAAACAACATGCGAGGTTTACACCGGAAGCCAATGACACTTGCTGGCATGCCATTTTGCCATCAAGCAGCGCCTCTGCCGTCCAACACCGCATCACAAGTGACATTTGTTGCATTTTTTCTGGATTTTCTTTGGCCTTTCGCTGTTAAAGTGAAAAATTCGCCTATTTCCTGTATTTCGTCTTCATGTGAAGTGGCTAGAAGTGTGCTTTAGAGTGTTGTGAATCATAATATTGCTGAGGAAAATGACCATGGGTGACGAAACGCCAGTAACATCGCTGATTCTGCCTGTTTTGATACGCCCCATCTTGTCACAGGTAATTCTGCGAACTCGATTTCCCTCAAGGTTTTCCTCAACTTCTCTTGGTCGGGCTTCCTGGTCAAAGACCCACTTCCCACAGTCGCAGCTCTGTGAACAATAGAATGCGCCTTGGGAATAGCCCACTCAATTAGCTCCGTCCCTATCGCTGACCAGTGATTAGACAAGCAAGATACTCGCCATCGCGATAAGTTCTAACAAGTTCCCTCAACTTTCTTCCCTCCCTCGATAGCTGGAGAGGCGCGACGTGGTGGCTTCGCAGACACTGAGAGCCGCGCTCACGAAGGCAGAGCAGACACACCCGGGCCTCACGTATGACCTGGTGATGGGCATCATGCGCAAGGGTGAAATCAGTGTGAACATGAACGAGAGCATCCTGCGACTCCAGGGCGCCGCCTCGGATTCGGACCTCATTGAGTATCGCCTCAATCGCACGGAAGACGCCTTCCAGGAGCTGAACAAGAAGTCCGCGTCGCTGAAGCGCATCCTCAGCCGAATACCCGACGAGATCACAGACAGGAAGACCTTCCTGGAGACAATAAAGTGAGTCAGAGACTGCTGATTGCCCGCAAAGGGACTGCCAATGATTGGCTTTTGCCTTGCAGAGAGATCGCCAGTGCCATCAAGAAGCTGCTGGACGCTGTAAACGAGGTCGTGGGCTTCATTCCGGGCACTTCGGGGAAGCAAGCGGTGGAGCAGAGGAAGAAGGAGTTTGTCAAGTACTCGAAGAAGTTCAGCACGACGCTCAAAGAGTACTTCAAAGAGGGCCAGTGAGTATCTTTCCCAGAAACGCAATTGTTGCACTCAAGCTGGACTTGTTTTCTTATCTCGATTGATGTGCACGAGTTGGGAAACTTCTTCACATGTCATTGTTCTGGCGAGACATTAATTGACTTTCTTCCTGTGTTTCTCTTGAAGGGCGAACGCCGTGTTTATCAGTGCTCTTTACCTGATTCACCAGACAAATCAAATAATGATCACCGTGAAGAACAAGTGCGAATGAAATTCGACTGCTGAGGGAGGAAAAGACAAGCGAGAAACAGATGCCAAGCAGTGAACTTGATTTGACATTTTGTAAGCGTTAAGTAATATTGATAGAAGAAGATTTCTCTTATTATAGGTGTTAATAATCCACAAGGGCAACTTAATGATATAATTTTTGGTATTTAGAGGCAAAATATTTGTCCGTCAGACAATTTATTGTCCACGAATTGACATAGCGTAAGTGTAGATAGTGAAGAAAGTATTTTGAAAAAATGTATAGTAACAAATGAGTTCTTATTGTATTTCGTTATAATTTCACCCATGAAGTATTTGTGTTATAAAAAAAATCTATGAAGCGTATATAAAGTAAACTTTAATGTATTACAAAGCGTTTAATTCGAAGGAGCTCCGAAATCTTCCACTCACGTTTGCCCATTTTCGAGCTCGGAGCGAAGAGTGTGGGGGAAAAGGGTGGAAAATTTCAGGCATGAGATTGCTATTCATGGCAATTTAGCACATTTATTGTCACTTCGACTCCTGCTATCGATCTATTTTCAGTCAATGCAAGATGCTTTCCAATTTCCCAGCACAACCACGAGACCCGAGGAGTGGGAGAAGGGCTGCGAGAGTGGCCTCAATGTGAGAAATTCAATAGTCAGGCTCGGATCACATTTAATGTGGGTGTCGGCAGAGTATGCGAATGATGAGAAATTCCCATCGGGCGCGCCCTCAGCGCCAGATTGAGAGTGTCTGCCAGGCCGGGTGGAAAAAAAGTGTACAAGACACATTGGAGACTATTTTGGGATTGTGGCAGGTGAAGTGGCTTTTTTGTGGGAGAGTCGAGAAACACCTGTTGGCGACAGATTCTCTGCACCCTTCACTGATTAACCTTCACATTCACTCGCAAGACAAAAACATCCCTATTTTGGAGGGAAAAAGTATTCCATTTCGGTTCAGCATTTACACGTTTATTTATAGATTTTTAGTCAGTCTCAAATTGCAATTTCTCTTTACAGTTTACATCATTTACTGATGATTCACTACTTCTCGCAAAGCATTCGCATTGTTTGATCCTGATGGATGCAAATTGAAAGAGAGACGGGAGGATTGTTTCCAGGAAACTGATGCAATTCAGTGATTCAGTCATGAATAAACTGAATAGAGATAAAAGGATTTACAATTTAAAGCTAATTTTAATAGATTCCAAAGGGCTTTGTAATCAGATGAGCTTAAGGCAAAATTTAATTAAAAATGAGAAAAACATGCGAAGCAGCTTTAAAATCAGTAAATTTATTGACTACTTTGGACACATTTCTTGGTTAAAACCTTTGAAATCTTCTATAAAAATCGCTGCATGAGCAACAAAAAATGGAAGCATTAGAGGCCCTACTTATCTTCTTATCGTCTCATGAAACTGTAATTAAGAAGCAAGATTTTGCAGGCGTCAGCATAATTGAGAAATAAAAAGAAAATTATATAATTTTTTTTTTTAATAAAAGCGGTTGGGTTTCTAAAAAGAAAATATACCTGTGCCGTTATCGTTTTTCGTTTCCTGTCTTTATTCAAAAATTCTAAGCCTTATTGAAAATCCAGCTTCCGTCATTAACATTAAATGTAAAGCAAAATCATAATCAAAACAGACATCAAACGCAGGTTCAGATGTGAAGTTAGAAAAATATATTATTCCCTCTAATGTAGACGAAGAGTTTTGGAATTAATAACAAAACATCCTTTCATTAAGTCCCTTTCCCACCAGCATAAATGCATGTGCGGAATCTGAAACTGAACCGATAAATGTGAGCTTAATTGATAGGAGTTTACCTTTGACCTTAAGTGGAAACAGCGGAAAATCGAAGGAATACAATGTGAATCTGCACCTCAAGTTGCCCGGAAAAGCGGTTTGGGTGCAGGTGAAAGGTTGAATTTGTTGACAGATAAAATTTAATAATAAGCATCACGTTGATTTTCCACGTGATTTTCCTGTTCGGTGGAAAAACGAAACACTCTCGCACGCTTTCGCGGGAAGTTCAGCTTCAGAACATCGTACGAGTCAGAATGCCTCAACTTGGCTTTTCATTCTGGTGGTGATTCTCGAGCTGTGCAGTTATGAATTGATTTAGCGCAGGATTTATCTTTTGTGCATTTTCAAGAAGAAACATAATAACAATTATAATTGTAAAACATATTCAGTGATTGAGAGTGAAATTAAATGTTCTGACAATTATGATTGTGCAGAATAATTTGAAGATTTAAGAAAAGTGAAGACATTCGGTGATCGTGACAACAGACTTGTGACGCGAAGTTAAGAATTTTCTGCGTCACTATCACTTAATTGGTGAGAATCATATCAATTTATATATCTTCTCACGTGTGCAACTGAATAATTACATGAGTTGTTTAGAAACCAAACATATGCCAATTGTGCAAAATTAAACGGAAAATTCCGTCTTACGTGCCACGAAAAGTATTTGCATTCCTTTATCTATTTGGCCTCCTTTTGTGATTCAATCACTTATCCTGCGGCTGTTTGATTCACGTAAAAAACACAAAACAAAACTTGTATCGCTGTTATTGAAAAAACAATTCCTAGACTTTGTAAATCACATTTATATCTGCAAAAATATATTTTTCTTAGACAATTTCATTCATATAATTTCCTCCTTGTCGACTTTACATTTCGTCCGCCGTCAAAAACTCCGTGGCTCAGGATTTGCACATGTTATCAAGAGACATTCACGTTGCTTTTGTACGGATGATTGCATGAAAATTGCCTTTTTGAGCACGAACTTCGCGTTACAGGAAGACTGACAAAACGTTTTGTCAATTCCAAAACGTGAAAAGTTTTCAACCTCGATTTCCACTGCGATTCTACTCTTCTCATACGTCATCAACGAATTTCCAATTACCCCACGCTAAACAATTAGCGTAATGTAACAAAGGTTATTCAACAAATTTTCTATGTCGAGTGGGTGGCAAGCAGAGAAACAAATAATCTAAATTTACGGACTTTCTTCGCGACTTTCCAACCCACGCTCATTTCCATCCCTCCCGCAAAGGGTGCAAACCTTATTTCTGTTGCATTGTGCATAACTTTTTTGTCCCACAAGAAGTTTCACAAAGTCTGTATTTCTATTTTTTCCCTGCAGAACAATTACAAGGAAACTTTTCAATTGAAATTAGAAATAAAGTTCTGTTTTTATGAAAATAAAAGAAAAAATTTCCTTTTATACAAAAATGGAAAATGCAAAAATAGGGAAAAAGTTCTATAAGAGTTCTTCGTCAATTTTCTTATGCAATTTCCATTAATACATTTTTAATGCTTGACTGAAAATATCACATCATAACAAACCAAATAAAGCTGTAAACTTTTCATTGTTTACTTCTTATTATTATGGTAATAGAAATTATCTAACTTGTGAAACAATTTAAGTAAAAGAATAGAGTGCATTGATCTGGAATTCTTCAGAAACTTGCTTTAAATGCATATTTTCCTCATTGTTTTGAGATGCTATACGAATTTTAATGCATAATATTAATTAAACGAATTCATAGTGAGATAATGCAAATATAATTTATCCAAATAAATACAGTGATTCCAAATAAAAAAAAAAACCACCTGAGGCTCTGAAACATATCGATATCCCGCGAATTCCCAGGTGAAGTTAGAGGTCTAAATTTTTCCACCAATCTTCCATAATTAATGACTAATTATCATGCTGAATTTGAAGATGTTTAAAACAAATCCGTTGATGTCTGATTCTAGATCAGACCAGAAGAAATGGATTTCATGACATGAAACTTCTGTGCAAGTTCCACAATTTAGAGCTTTACCACTACCTGCAAGAGTTGTTTTAAATAAGGGGTTTTAAATTTTCCACAATTTTTCCCTTTAATGCTTCGATGATCAATTTTCTGATTATTATTTCTATTTCTATACGAAATATATATAAACATATAAAACATAGAATATTCTAGTTTGAGAATATTCAATGATTTTGGTGTCGAATTCTTGGATAAATTAACACGTATTTTGTTTTTCTACCTCTTTAAATTGTAGAAGTGAGCTTTAATGCATTTCAGCGAATGCAGAGAATTAATGAAAAGTCAATCAATCAAGATTTCAATTCAATGCTCATCAAAGAGTAATTCCCAGGAAACACACATTATTAGTAGAATAATAATACCTACAGCTACTGAGGACTCTGCTGAAGTGGAGGAAAGTCATCTGGCTAATTCAGTGCCCCTCTAGAGAGCTCCGCATCTCGCTCAGTAGAGTTTGCTATGAAGGCGGTCGCGTGTCTGAACCCGTGACTGATACCAATGGTTCAATGGCACAATTTCAATCACTTCGTGCAGTCATACAGCAGCGCACCGAGTTCTCTGTGATTCTGCCAACGCGTGCTCTCGGTGGATCACAGCAGAATGCACCACTTGTTTTGGCAATGTGATCAGTGCGGCTCTCATTGCAGGTAAACCGCCAGGAGCCACGTTCGCCTGGGACACTCATGCGAAGCGGAGACGGCCCAGATCTCAGCTCACCGTCCATGATTCCTAGGGAAATTGCTCCAGTGAGGAAATGCCACTTGCAGACGCCGACTGCCAATTTTGTTCGCTCCACGGTAGACAGTGAAGAGAGTCGCGATGGAGTGGTTGCTGGCGAATCCGCAGATCCACAGCATCTTCGCCTCGCTTGGCGCGATGCACGGCGACACTTACGAGGCCAGTGAGAATTGCCTCGGTGAGTACCAGTCGCAGCCAGTCCCAGTCATGATATGCAATCGTGCTCATTCAATGCTAAGCAGCTGCACTCAGAAGAAAACCCCGACTAGAGCTTAACATCCGAGGTTTAATTGGACTTTATGCATATATGATGTTTGAGAATTTGTATTCAATCACAACTGAAGTTTGCATGCGTTGTTGTTGCGAGGCATCGGAAATTCGCACTATCTTCCCCTACTTTGATGTTTTGCTGATTAATTTGAGTGCAGCCAAATGCTGCACTTTATCATCTGCTACAGTCCAATGCGTATCAATGACGGCATTCATGCCAATTGATCTCGCGTATTTAGCGATGTCGCAACGCACGAGGCGCGAAACCCTCTAAACTCCAACGTGCAGATTAATTTTAGTCTCACTTTCACACAATAATGTTTCGTGTACGCGAGAAGCCGTACAATTCGCACTTTGCGGACCTTTCTAGCCCATTTCAATAATGTATGTAAGTGAATTTGAATGAGAGACGAAAATGCCTCCATTTTCCATGTAATTGAACATGCGGAATTTAGTTTATTGATTACACGCCTTCCCATTGTGTGCAGAACTCCTTGGAGAAATCAACTATAAGCTATCGATTGAGGATCACACACTGAGGACTTTCAGGCGAGCCATTGGCTTCAGCCAGTGCATCAAGAAGGATATCATTCCACTGCTGCTTAATGTGAAAGATGAGAAGCTCATTGAGGCCACGATTAGGATTCTGGTCAATCTCACGGTGCCCGTGGAGTGTTTGCTGCCCATGGAGATGATGAGTCGCACCGATGTTGGGCGTCACACCATCTTCGAGCTGAACAAGCTGTTGGTGCAGAGCAAGGAGGCCTTCACGGACAGCAAAGCCACCAAGGCGGTGCTGGACTACATGCGCAGCATCCTCGAGCGGGAGGGAAAGCTGAGTGTGGAGCAGTGCGACGGGATCAACAACTGTCTGCTTTTGCTGCGGAATATTCTGCACATCCCAGAGCCGCAGAAGGAGCACCACGGCAGCCATCACGGCGGGACGTCCATGCAGAACCAGATAGTGTGGAATCTGTTCACGCAGAGCGTGGACAAGCTCCTCATCCACCTGATGTCGTGCCCACAGCGAGCGTACTGGGGCGTGACGATGGTGCAGGTGATTGCGCTCATGTACAAGGATCAGCACGTCGGCACGCTGCAGAAGCTGCTCAGCATCTGGTTCGAGTCGTCCATATCCGAGAGCTCGGATGACAATGAGTCCAACACGTCACCGCCAAAGCAGTGCTCAGGCGACTCCAGCCCGATGCTCACCTCCGATCCCACTTCCGACTCCTCGGACAATGGAGGCGAGTGACTCATTGATTGTCAACGTGAGAGCAATGATAATTTATAAACCGAAGACTTTGTGATCGCAGGCAGTAGCAAGATGGTCCACGAGGAGAGACGCAACTCCACCACTGTGCAGGAGACCTCGGACTCCTCCATGCAGGAGTCGCCGCAGTTCTGTCGCATGGAATCCATGCGCAGCAAGACGAAGCAGCCCCATCCCAAGCCGGCGTTCAGCTTCACGGGCGAGAAACAGGTAGGTGGCACTCCGAACTCCTGGCCCAGTGCTGGTGATCACACCTCTCTTCACAGCAATTAGTGCGCCTCAATTGTCTCGCCTCTAATAATCTCTCGAATCACGATTCTGCGCTGCGCAAAAATGTGTGGGAAGGTAATTCAATTAACTATGGAGCTCGTGGAAGGCGCATTTTTTCAAATGTCAGCATATCGAGTGCTTCGAAAATCCATTCTTACTGGGAGACGAACTTTGCAGTCGTGCTCTTGATTCTGTACTCTGGCTTCGGAAATGATGTCAATGATGGGCTTTAATGTCTCAATAGGTGTTGCCCAGAAGTTTAGCACGAATTAGCCTTTTGATTTAATGTGTTTATTTTCTTCGCTCGCGATGAGGAACGCAGATTACATGAGTATGTGTCGGAAATCGACAATAGTTGCAGTATGTTCCAAAATATTGAAATACCCTTTGAACGTGGCCAGAAGTGTGCATTTTCCTAAGACCATTGCAGCTTATAAAACACCTTTAAGTTGTCAAAGATTTTCCAGTGCGAATTAAATGTAAAAATGCAAGAACAACTTTATCACAAATCCATGGCTTTAAATAAAAAGATCTAATTTTCCATATAGACATAAGTTTGCACTTTTGTAAGACAGTCACTATTTGAAGGAATGTCTAATAAAATCTCAATTCATGTGATTCCAATCAGATGAAAGTGGTTTTGGAACATATTGTGGTAAATAAATGTAGAAAATTCCTTTAAGGGTTGGAATTCTCAGGTGTTTCTGACCACACGCTAGGACTTCGTATTGCTCCACTTGCCTCTATTCCGGTCATTTGATAATTTTTTCCATTCAAGGCTATTGGTCCGCAACAAGGACCATCCCAGAAGGTAGGTTCAGGTGCAGGCAATGCTCAGAACACCGCAGGGCCCTCCTCACAGTCGGAGTCCGACTGTGGCTACGGCACTCAGGACCAGCACGAGTCCATCTCTACGTCCAGCAACGAGGACGAGACGCCACAGCAGAAGCCGGTGCACCAGAAGCCGCCATGCAATCAGAAGCAGCGATACAATGCGGCCAACAAGCAGAGGAGTGCCGCAACGGTGCAGGACAAGAAGGAGTTGCGCAGGAAGAAGCTCGTGAAGCGCAGCAGGAGCAACATGTAAGTCATGGAGATATTTAGAATGATTGGTGGCCTGACAGATTGCTATTCGCTTGCAGAATCAACATGAAAGGACTGCTCTATCACACGCCTACTGACGAGGACATCTCCAACATACTGAAGGAGTTCACAGTGGACTTTCTCTTGAAGGGATACGGTTGTCTGGTGCAAGAACTCCACGCACAACTCCTGACTGATTTGGTAAGGACACGCGGCTCTGAACCAGAATCTCTTACCAAACGCTGTCGTTTTATTGCAGCAAGTGCAGATCGATACATCCCACTTCTTCTGGCTAGTCACGTACTTCCTGCGCTTTGCTGCCCAATTGGAATTGGATCTTGAGCACATCCACTCCGTGCTGTCCTTTGAGATTGTCAGCTATCTGACTTACGAGGGGGTGAGTTTATGTGAACAACTAGATTTGGCTACCAAGCAGCAAAGCCCAGATCTCAAACCATGCCTTCGACGGATGCATCTCGTAGTCACAGCCATAAGAGAGTTCCTGCAGGCTCTTGAGACATACAAGAAGGTCAGCCATCTCAATGACGAGGACAAGGAGCACCTGAAGTTCCTGCAGTTGCAAATTGGCGCCACGGAGGATCTCAAGTGCCTCTTCATGCTGCTGCTGGGGCGCTTCAATCCGGAGTTGCAGAGCAAGCAGTATCTCACGGACCTGATTGTCACCAATCACATTCTTCTGCTGCTGCTGGAGGGCGTTGCGAAATTCCCGGAACACAAAGGCAGCACCAAGATGCTGGAACACATCAAACAGTGAGTGGTGAGAATCAATCTCTCTGAGTGACACTAATGATGCCGCCTTGGCAGGTTCGCCACCGTGGAGATCATGCATCACTACGGACTGCTGCTGGAGGACTTTCGTGATAATGGGGAGTGTGTGAATGACTGCATTTTCACCATGATGCACCACATTGGTGGGGATTTGGGACAGGTGGCCACACTCTTTCAGCCGATCATTCTCAAGACGTACACCCAAATCTGGGAGACGGACTACGAGTTGTGTGATGTAAGCCCGAAATTTTCGCATCAACCCAAAATGAAGATTCGTGATTATGATTTTTCCTGTCTCCTTCGCAGGACTGGTCCGATTTGATTGAATACGTAATCCACAAGTTTGTCAACACACCCCAGCAACCACCTCTCGAGCTGCCCAATCCGTCGTTCAGTCTTGAGCCCGGACAGAATGGAGAAACCGTGGCGGCTTCTGTATGGACTAAAGAAGAGATCGACACTCTCTACTGGTACTACTTGCAGAGCAAAAAGTCCAGCGATGTCATAGGCAGCATTCTCAGGCAGTTCCAAGACAATGGCACTCGCCACAAGACGCGCATTGACATCATTCAGCAGCTTCTGCAGCAGGACATAATCACTCTGCTGGAGTTTGATGATTTCATGAAGGCGGAAGACGCGCACTATGAGCGAGATATAAAGACACCGGGAGCTTCCATCAGCACTGCTGAGAGTGGGATTGAACTGAAGGACAGTGTCACGCCGACAAAGGCCACAGATGATATTCAGGTGGGATAGACAAGGAGTCGCTATCTTCGAATATGTGTGACTGGGATTCTTCCTCAGGTGCTTCGTGATCGTCTCTACAAAGAGAACAAAGGGAAGTTTGTTCTGTGGCTGCAGAAGGTTCTCGTTGAGTGTTGCTTCATCAAGTTGTGCATAAGTCAGGGCAAAGTCACATCCAAAGACATCACCGTGGAGTCAGAGGTGAAGACAATGGAGCCCGTTCCGCATCACTGCATTTGTAAGTTGTGCGCCAGACAAGGCACAAGAGAAGTCATTCTAAATGTGGTCTTTTGATGCACTTGCAGTGAAGAAGCAGTCCATCCCTGTGGTGCCGTGGACAGGAGAACAATGCGCTGTGCTGCTGTATCAACCCTTTATGCTGCTCTTGCACAAATTGGGCTTCCACTTGCCCGTGGATGCGGGAAAGTTGTTCATTCGCATCCCAGAGTTCTGGACGGCTGACATTCTCTACAGCATTGCTGAGAAATTGGGCCCAATCGATAAATGTACATCAATGTCGTGTGAGAAAATTGACTTGGTGAGCGATGCTAATCAGACAGTCTTTCAGGTCTGCTGAAGTTCGATGTGAATCAATTGAAGGGATCACAGTGTGACAGCCACTTTAGCGCGAAACAGGATGGCCTGCAGACCTCCAGTGAACACTTCGCCATTCCTGGACTGAAGCAAACCAGCTCCATCATTAGGTAAGGCCAATTGACACTGCTTCTATTGCCCAACACTGCCTTTTGCAGGGAATGCGATCTCGAGGGTGTGATAGCACAGTTCAACTTTCAATTTTAGATTCACACCTGAGCCCACATCGACGCCTTCTCTGCCCAATTGGCTGCAGATCGTCATGCAGAGCAAGAGTGCGCTCGATCAGAGGTATGATAAGAATAGATTTTAACTGGCAAAAGGTCGATTTCGCCGGATTTCTCACCGCAATATTCCAATAAAGTATCGCCACAATCGTACAGATATCACGATTAGTCAGAAGGTCTGTCTTGTTACCCTTTTTTCTGCATATTGTTAATTAATTTAGCTGATTAGGGCCGTATTACTTTCAAAATCGATCGCCTTGCATATGCAATCGCCTTGAAAGCGACACTACACTCATTTATATGGCTTATAAATTGCCTCTGCATCACAGAGATGGGCTGTTATATAAATGGTGCTTTAGGAATGGGGAGAGAAGGTGTTTCTTTTGCACGCTTTTCACGTCAATAACACTTTACCATTCATCTCTAGCCAGATCTTTTGACTTCTTCCTCACCACTTTTACGAGGTGATTAACTCGTCATTTTGCATAAAATATACTGGCACTGTCGCTTTTGCCAATTTTTATTCCCACCATTAACTGATGAAAGTACTAAATTTTAATTAAATCAATGGTATTGTTAGAATTTATAGCCATTCTAGTCTATAAATCAAATGGGGGAAAAGTAAGCATTTCCACTCGTGAATGACTTTTTATAGTGCAAATTTATACACGTAAAAGTCACTAAACGCTACCTTAAATATTTTACCCGATAGCTAATTTTTTTTAACATCTTACGATTGTTTGTTAGAGGAGAAAAAATCAATCAAATATTAACCATTCCTAATAGCGTGGGATCATTTGTTAAATCACCACAATCGATCATGTTAACTGCCCATTCTTTGGCAGCATATTATGTGTTGGACGCTTTTCTTCCCCAGTTCCGATACTGATGTCTCCATTCACGCCGGCCTTCCGAGTCCCACAGCGGAACGAGTAGCCAAGACGGGCATCTTTGGGGGCTCTCCGGAGACCCTCCTCGTGGAAGTGGTGCACTTGAGCGACAAGGACGACAGCGAGAAGCTCAACGACGACTCCCAGTCCACAGTTTGCAATGCCTCCGTCCAGGAGGACGTGGCCAGGTGAGTTTCGCAGCGTCTCACTCGCAGTCACAACTCACAGTCTTGCTCTTGACAGCAACTGCGACACTGCGTCCGTGGCGTCCAATCTCACGCGAATGTACGTGAGTGATGAAGACGAGAAGCCAGACATCAGACCGCGACCGCTCTAGCTCACCGTTAAGATACTATGCTATATGTAGTTCAGAGTATATGTTATTTTATATGGATAATCAGCTACAATTAAGGCCACACTGTCGCCAATTATTTATCAATTGTTATAAAATGCACTTGGGCTCTTGCCGGGGGTGAATTTTGACAATTCCCCCATATTTATGCATTCTACGGATTTATATAGTAACATATAATTGTCGTCATGCTGGACATTGTCAACAGTTTTGTCAATTTTGCTATCTATTTACCATATTATTTATGAATGATGCACGGTTCACTGGACTTACAAACTCCGCGAACGGAGAAACAGGCTGAGAAAGTACAATAGTTTGAAGTCTCATGATTTTAACACACGCCTAATAGTGATATTCCATCCAGAAAATATTCATGACAAAAAGAGAGTTTCAGGAACATTTTCCACCTTCCACTCGACAAAACCTCCTCCCGGCGCAGCTTTGCCATTAAATAAGCCATATATGTAGAGGATCTAATTTCTCGCACGTACAGATGCGTGTGTGAGATAATGCTGATTAATATCATTTCGGTGACTTCATAAATCAACATAATCGGTAGTATAGGTTTGAATAGCGTCATAAATACACAGGTTCACAACACAATGTCCAATGAGTTTTGCCTCTCAATATCTCAACATTGCATTTTGCTGGTCTACTTTTTATGGGCGACAGAGAAGGAAAAGTGAAGAAAATATTAACTTTAAGGTCATATTGTGTTTTTAAGTTTATGATGGTAACAAAGCGATATTACATTCTCTCTCTCACAACAAATATACTCTTGATTTCATTCATTTTTGTTAAGTGCCAACCATTGTGGACGAAATTTCCTGATCGCGCCTAAAATGAATTTATAGGGAAAATTTGCTGGAACAAAGTATTAAAATCACTTCCATCCGATACCAAAGGAAGGATGGAATGATGTGTTTGTGGAGACCAACTCTTATGCCAAAATAAATAAATAAATAAATTGTTTGTTTAGAGAAATCACATGATGTATGTATTTTATGATGGATGTTTTTTGCTTATAGTTTTCAGTGAGGAAACACGCGAAAACAAACCCAAAAAAGAGAAATTCATATGTAGAACAATTAAAAAAATATTATGTATTTTTTGAAAAATAAAAGACATTTGCAATATAAGATGACGTCTTGCGAAATTTGCTCCTCCTTTGCACACATACTCTGGATATTGAGTCATCAATATGAGACTTGATATAAGATGTGAAATAGGAAAGTGCAAAAGAGAAGAAAGAGAGTGATTGAGGCGTTTCACCTGCGAGCAATTCTGATTGAAATCTCTTGCAAGATCAAAAGCACGGAATTTCACGGCTCTTCCACTCAGATAATAGAGAGGCTAAATGATCTGGCTTCTCGCGATCGAAACACACAAAACGAGTATCATAGCCAGATGTTCGGTATCAAAGAGAGAGAAAAACACTGTCCGCGTATCATCAAAACATTTCACATGTCCTTTTCCATATAGTTTTACTCTTGACTTCTGTGTTCCTTCATCAACCGGTGATATCTCTCAAACTTGCTTTCAAAGTACAACCTTCGCAAAAATCGCATGTGTCGTGAGCGGCTCTACAAATAAATAGAATTTTGGACTTTCTTCACCTGCGCAAAAAGGTTACGTAACGACAAAACTGCTTCCTTTCCATCAGTGGCGTGTCGCTCATTGCGGAAAAAAGGTGCAAATCAATTGATGTATGGAGTTCACCTTCTTCGTCGTGTGTCCATTGTCTGCGGTGAGAGAAAAGCTAAATTGAGTGTATTTAGCGTTGAGCCCTGACGAATGCCAAGCGCTATCTTAATAAATGGATTCAGCAATTTTATTAGACGCCACGAGCACGATCTCCAGCATGCAAATCTCGCCAATTGATCACTTTGTCTTGTACTGTTTCTCTCTCTCCCAATCGGACTTGTGGTACGAAATCCAAATATGGTTCAGCGTTTTTTGCACCTGCTGTGGAAAACCGGTGAATTGTGCAATTTTTTGTTATTAATTTATTGCATATTTGTTATTTTAATTTACATGGCGAATATTGGGTCTTCTGAGCGCGTTTGCAAGTTCACACAATGAATTGATGGGAATTGCAAGCCCCTCGTGATCGTATTTGTCATAATTTCATGCAATACAGAATGGCACAATTAATAGTCTGCGCAGTGGCGATAATGAACGCTAAATGAAACCGCATTTAATGACTTGTCCATGGCACTTTGGAAAGTCATTAGGAGAAATGTCCAGAGACACGGATAATGCCGCAGAAAATGCATTTCGCATAAATGGAATTTAGCACAGATTTATTGATCGAAAATATGAGGCACAACCTCACGTGAAAGCGCTCTGTCCTCATGAGCTTTTGCTCCCCACACACCAAATCGAGTTTCTGCCTTTTTTCCGCCGCGCTTTTTTCCAACCAAGATCTCTCGGCGTCCCATTTGCCGGTGGCCGATGAAATGGCCTGGAAAGACATATCGCTGGGGCGCTGCTCTGAAACTTATGTAAGTAGCCGGAGTACAAGTCGCAACGAGATATCAGGGACTGATTGACCGATGCTTTTCCACTTGAGACCCGCGATCGCGTGTAAACTTGGTGACTTCGCCGGAGAGACCCGTGATCTCTCATGCCCAGTGAGTTAATCATAACTATTTCAAACTTAATGCCTGTAATTAATCTCTCTCCGCCTCAAGACAGTCTTCGCCGCATGGAGAGATCACGGTTATTAGGGCTCAATGGGACGAAATTTATACGAAAGTTTCTATCTGTTCATCCGGAGTGTGAGCATTTCGTCGACATTTGGCACGTTTCGTATCTTTGCAATGCAATTTGGAGCATCCAAGTCTCCTTAACAGTGAATAAATTAATTATCTAGAGGAGACTTTGCTGTGATTGCAAGCTTCACAAACAACAATCCCTTGAGTGAACTTCAGCAAGTCATTGTTGCTGAAATTTTCTCAGCAACAACCTTTCCAATGAACCCATAAATCAGAGCATCGTGAATGTTCAGACTGACGTGAAACCCTTATTTGAGAGACTGTAAAATTCCTCTCAAATTAATCTCTCTGTGCATTATGATTGACCCTTTAATGGGTGTCAAGCGTGGAACAACCTTGGCGAAATGAGAAATCACGCATTTACGAGCGTTATTCTCAAATCCCCAAAGAATCTCATTCAAATTCTTCACGTGACCTCATGCATAAGAGAGTGAGATTTTGCCAAGCCCTTCATTTTACACATGTCGAACATTGTGAAAACTCAGCGAGTCCGTGTCATATTTTACCTGCTCAACACCCAACTTGGCGACTCTCTTGCGCAATCCACGAAACTCAGCTTCATGTCCCTTTGACCACAATCACGCACAGCGCATTGAACTTTATGCTGTGCTTCGGCCACTCTCTTGCTCTCAGATAAACAAACATTTTCCCTGGGCCGCGTCTCTCCCGCAACCTCAATTGCAATTAATTGTATTATCCTATAATGTTGTGGGTCGGCTTCAATGCTTCATTCAGCAGTGAAGAAAGCCACTCGAGCACACTGCTCGAATCGAAATCAAACGGGTCTCTCTATGCAATGGCCCAAAAGGAACATTATATGCTTCTTTCAATTTCGATTAAGTGGGGCAAAAATAAAATCTCAAAATTGTAACATCGTGCATTTTATTTGTCCTCTTTTTTCTGCCTATCTCACAGTTTTTTGCTCACCTCTTTGCTCAGGTATTAATGTCATTTCAGGTGGGCTCCAGTCCTCAACTCTCGCTCTCATTTGCAATTTATACCAAAACACACGGAAAACCGCGTTCAACACTGACTCCTGTAGAGCCAAGACGCCTATTATGTCTCGTTTGTACAGCCTCGCGTCTCGCTTGTGCCGGAGTCACTGACCAGTCGAGCGTGCACCATGACTGAATAAATCAAAAATTGCAGAAATGAACTGAATCTGACTGAGAAATTAATCTCGTCCATTGATGATTACGCAAAAAGTCTCGCAAATTGCAACGTTTCGGCGAAAATCAAATCTCCAGCCGGTCTTTTGTTCTTAAAATGGTGAATTGAGAAAAGGCCAGCGCAGCCCAAAAAAGACCATCATCAGCAGACAAAATATTTTATGGTGCGATTGGCAAAAACCACTAAAAATCTCAATTAAGCTGGCAACTATTTGAATTTCGCATTTAATTCCAGCCTCTCTATTGCACTTGGCACAAAACGACAATTAAACTCTTTATGATATTTCAAAGCGATACCCAAAAAAAACGATCACCTTAAGACGAAGCCACACTTTTCTCACATACACACAAAAACACCACGCGAAAGTGACGAAACGACTTCTCATTCCGGCACCTTAATTGAGATTTAAATTGTGGTCTGTGTCAATAAAATTTAATCAATTTCGTCATGGAAAAAGACTCCTGAAAACTGACCATCTCACGCCGCGGCGAATTAATTGGTGCAAAAGGGAAAAACCTTAGGCAGCCTTGAGTGCATTTTATGTTCATGTTTACTAGCACAAATAAGGGTAAATTATCTGCAAAGCTGTGATCAAATAAAAAGTCATTCGCGATTTCAGATCATTAACTTTGCGATTATTCAATCATCTTATGATTTTTGTATAACATATTGGTTATTCCATACAAATTTCAATCATTTCCTGGATAATTCGATTGAGATTCCCCAAAAATCGGCTAGTGACTTTCCCTTTGGCTGTCGGTCTTTTCTTCTCATTCGACGTGCGAAGGCGTCAGATATTCTCCCCTTGTCTGCAATAGAGAGCCTCGAGGGGACACTCGTGAGATTTCGGATTATATGGTGGCATTAAGAGCGCGGGACGGACAAAAAGCATGTCACAGATCCCTATAAATGCAACTCAATTAAGACACAGCAAGGGAGGCAGGAAAGCGACTACCTACGAGGCGGCAACCTTGTGCCAGTGAAAGTGATTATGCTGGCTTATGATCTCCGTCGCGATTGCCGCACTGAACTGCAACGTGACCTTAATCTAAGCACTGATAGCAGTCTTTAGCCGTAATTGGTATGATTTATTGACCAAAATCTGGGACCTGCAGTTGAGTGCTGCGTTAGAATAGAAGATGACTCATGATCTGTGAATTTCCTGCGTACGTTTACAATCTCCCGAAGCTGCACCTCTGCGCCCATATAGCGGCCGAGATTGAGTCATTCGCCAGAAGCCTCAATTCGCCACGCACAGAAGAAAGTGCGCCCCTTTTTGTACTGCTCGCAATTTTATCTTTTGACACGATGACGCACAGGAATTTGTCTTCCAACCGCCATGGATATGAAATCCGCGAGAGTGTGCGGATTTTTAATTGCATAACGTCCTCCACTAATTCAAGAATGATACATTAAATAACCGATGCGATGCCGCCACAGAGAATGTCTCTACTAAATTGCTATTGCACGCCTTTAGATACAATTTCTCTCTGTCTCGTTTGCTCGCCTTTTTTGTGCCTTTTCTTCAAGACGCTGCCTCCTAATGCATCTCGCCAGGTAATTATAAGACACTGACAATAAATTGTCACACACACCCAGTAATCTCGCCTCTGCTCATGGAGATAAAATGACGATTTTGCCCATTTGCCATCTATTATGTCTTTGGTGGAACAACAGCGCGAAACAGGGCCAATTGTTGTGAAAGAAATACGAGAGTCATTTGTGATCTTTTGTTGCAGTGCCTCTTCAATGCCCTTTCTTGTACCGCACACATCTCGTCATCACATCGCGGATATTACTTGAGCGACACGAGACGGAGAAAGAGATTTAAATCTGCACCTAAATCGCAGATTACACTCGAGAAGATCGTGGCCGTATTGTTGAATTCACAACTTGTTTGCTCTGAGTGCAATTTCACGTTCGTAACAGTTCCATTTATGAGATTGAGGAAACCTTAAGGCAGGGCAAAAAGATCAATACCGCCCGGAGCGGAGTGATATCAAAATATCGCGATGCTATTAATACTCCAACAATGACTAAATTTGTGCACTATTTGCCTTTGAGATTTGATGAAATTGACAAGAGATCAATTCTCCTCTCGCGATCGCGCTGTATAGCCTGAAGGGAAGTGTCTTGCAAATTGTAAATGTTGCAGTCAACTTGAAGTCTCGCGCATTTTCTTTGGCACTTTCCAAACGCCACGCGATTAGGAAGAAATGTCTCAAATGCAAGTGCGCCCAAGGGGACGATCGCGCAGGGAATCAATTAGTCTGCATTGTCGTTGAATAACGTGTGCAATCGCGAAAGGGAAATTGCGATCGCTTCTTTTGGAAATTCTCATATTTGTACAATGAAATCACCCGAAATCACTGTGATTATGATCTCTGGGCGCAATACAAAGGTAAATCACCCGTGCAATTCCATCGCATTTTTCATTCCTCTTACATAAACACTTTACACAGCAATAAATGATCATGACCATGATCTGAAATTAGGCATCATTAACTCATTAGTGAAGTGTTGCCGTTTCTCACAATAAATCCGCGACAATTGCCACAATTTCCTCCCAGAAGTGTATCATATTGGCTCTCCTTTGTTTTCCTGACTTGACCTCCTGTCGCCTAAAGCGCTCTTTTATTTCTTAAGGAAACATTCTCCGTGCAATCGCAATAAGTGATCATGAGATCCAAAGCGGTGCAGAATCTCCCGTAAAGATATTGGGTATTTGTGTTGGCTTTTTAATTTTGAAATTCTTACATCATGTAATAAAAAAAATGTGTTCACAGGAAATAATTTTATCACTATAAATAGTATTACAATTTTTTCTTCTCAATTCGTTATTCAATTGTGTCACATATTTCTATATTTACGTATGTTTATCACCCACAGTTGAAATGATTTTGAAACCGAAATTGATAGATTAGTGTTTATGAATTCACTGTCTTTCATATTGAGGCCGAAGGCAATAACCTTTCCCAGAGTATTTAGCATGAAGAGTAAGTTTGACTTTTACCGACATTGACGCAAAAATTGGTTTCTTTGGGAATCGTGGATCTGTTTTTTTTTATCACAAAACCCCATCTGACTTTCAAGGTAGAAAGGAAAGGGCGTGAAGGGCGTAAGACTGAACATTCTCTGCAAAGAACTCTTGTATTAAGTCAGTTCGGTCTTCTGCCATCGCGAGGGCAAAGCTCGCGCGATCGTTGCAGTGTTAGTAGATCGATTTGCTTTGGAGGCTCTTTCACGTGCTTGGAAGGCGTTCGGCGCGCTTTTCAATCCCCGCCATTCGGTGGAGGATCCAGAAGCGGCGCTATATAAACAAAATTGAACTGGCAAAATCTCTTAGTGCAGAACTAAACACACCGAGAGCCTCACCTAACCGACCTCACATTGAAGCCACTCACACATTCCATCACACTCCGTCACTTCCATCATGTTTGTGGTAAATTTCTTTCACTGTCCAATTTATTATTGAATACCTTTAGAAATGCCTCTGAAAATACGTGATCAGTTCAGTGAATCAGTGAAGATTGCGAAGGTGTCTTGACAACATCAGTGAAGTGATGATCTTGATTAGGGAGAAGTGCAAAGGAATAATCTCGTGACTCAGTGACAATTTCCCACTGGGATGCCATTTGTGTGAAGACTGTGAAGATGAGGGAGGTGCAAATGTCGCAAGATCTGTGCATGCATATCTCTGCTGCACCTCTCAAGCATCTGTCGATCGGACAATGTGGTAAAATGTCTCAGGGGCCACTCGATTTGGTATTTGTCGATTATATCGTCACTCTTGTAATGTTATGAATGATATTTTCAATAATAAAGCGTCAGAGCAATTTGCTGGTGATCCGTCAATGCGCTGTGTGACTCTTTTTGCCACACAACACGTGAGACACGATCCTTCAGAATTTATGTGGATTTTAATCGTGATCCGCATTTCAATACACTCCTTTGGGAATGGCTCGAGATCACATCAGGCTGAAGCGTGTGAGGAAAATATCATCGCCTTTGTGACAAATGTGATCTTTGACTTTCTTTGTGAAAAACTTTTCTGTGAGAATCTTTGGAGAAAAATAACAATCAAGTGACATCCAAAAGCGACCTTGACCTCATAACAATCCCATTATATCTTTAATAGTTATCCCTCAAGAGAAGGACAGAATATAGGTTAAATTTTTAATACCAAAAGATTTCCTCTTCGTCTTTTTCTTCCTCCTCAAAATGTCAGTTTATGTGTACGTGAGAAGAGGAAATAATTTTTAATTGCCCCAGAAATGCTGTGAGCGATCAATATAGTGTTTTTATGTAATCCAAAGGCGCAATTTTCATTGGCAAAAATGGCAAAATGCAATTTTGCGTGCGAATTCCATCATGATCGCATATTGACATCGGTGGGCAGTATTTGTAGTTCCTCGAAGTTCAGCCGCACATAAAATATGCGGTGAGGAAGATGAAGAAGGTGGCAAAGCCCGATTCGCTCGGTGAGGAGTCGTGACAAACGCCGTGAGCATGAGAATGAGCCGCGCTGTCGTGGGAGATCCATTTGCACGGGGAGGCGGGCGTGATTGAGAGTGAATGCCGAGACAAAAGGGCAGACACCTGAGGAGATCAAAAATGTAAATAATACGCCTGTAGCCTATAAATAAAGTGAATGTGTTCAATAATTTCAAATTTGTCCATGTGGATTCCGCACAGAGTCAATAATTCACCATTTGCCCAAGTCAAGAGAGTAAATAGAGGGCGGAGAGGTGAAAAATTGCCATTGATTGCTATTGTGGGTAAATTAATAGAGATCAATTGCGACTCCCTTTGCTGATTGCTACTCTCCTAAATGCGCTGCTCAGGAAATCATTTGGGTGCAGAAGTGAGATGGAAACCCTCCATCGTCTCCAATCATGTGCAATTGTTCAATATCCAGCATTATGCGAAATTACCCTCTAACATCTCTCTGTTGCTCCCATTATGCAAATTAATTGAATATTACGTACGTGTGGCGTGTTAGTGCCGCTGGCAATCTTGTCTCACACTTTTCTGCCAAGAAGCACTCTCGGAAAAAAGACTACCACACACAGAGTGTCGATCCAGATGACCAAGATCGCGCAGAGAGTTCAAATTACTCTAGAAATCATTCTTAATAGATATTTAACCATGAGATTTCATTTATCTTCATTGCCAAACTCCTAGAATTTCGTACAAAAAATACTTCTAGAATTCCTATCCAGCTTTTTATATGCTAAAAATGCTGGAAAATCACTGATCAACCCGACCAGGACACTGTGTGATTCTTCTACAAGTCAGCACTTCAGCCACTCGCAGAGTTCCCTCAACTCTGTCCACCTCGGCACACTCTCTCTTCTCAATGAACCTCTGGGGCATGAGAGCGGCCCGCCGGGGGCCCCGTATGCGATGCACATTGGCAAGGCTTTGCATCACTCCTCATAAAGTTGTATACGCAAAATCCATTTCGCCCAATATAGCCAGTGAGTAGGAGTTGAAAGTATCAATTTGGCGCGCAATTTTGAGAAATAACTCTCCGTACTGCCTTTTTTGTCCGACTCCCCATTTCTCTAATGTTTTCATCTCCACGCTCCGGTTATTAATATTGAATCACTGGGAGATTTATAGTCTCTGAGGCAAAAGTGCGAGTGATTGATTGTGATCAATTTGCAAATGTATGCCGCAAAGCGCGATCATGACACAAGATGTGAGATTTGCGAAGAATTCCAGCTATTTATACTGTTACATATTCCTTATCATTTATCCCGAAGGGGATTTTTTCTCTGCCAATTCACCCATGCGGTGGGTGATCTTTTTGCAGTATTTGTCCAGCTATCATGATCGTGCATAGATACATGAGAGTGATTTTTGTAATTGATCTGTGGGTATCATGAGTATATAGATGTGTTTTGAGTCGTGCAAAAAAAGACAACAAATCATTGCTTAAGTTTCATTTCACATTGTAATCTTTTTTTGCAATTCTCCTCCCTCAAAAATGTATTGTGAAAAATATATCAAAAACATTTTTTTATGCGAAAACACCATAAAAACTACTGAATGGGTGAAAAAATCCATGTAGAACAACTTTCCTTCCAATCCGCAAACAGAAGACTTTTTATTTTTGAAGGAGCGCAAAAAAATGCCATAAAATTTAACGACTGTGTAGAAAGAAGACAATTGATCAAGGTGAAACATACTTTGTTCCAATTATGTGCAATCTCTTGCACAATAATGAATGGAATAGGCATCATTTTCACTTGGCGGTGTTGGAGTAAATATTTTGGACATTGGTGACAGAAGGGGGCTAAAGTGAATGGGTGATATGGTGAGAAATTATGCGTGTCTCTCTCATAGATAATCCATTAAAATTATATAGAGAAAAAATTACTTTATATGATTCATACGAGATGTGATCTTACTCGCAATGTGCGTGTTTTTCTCCGTACGCGATTTATGTCACCGCACTGCCAGAGAGTGAAATGCATAATCATTTCTATTTGATATAACATCTCGTTTTCCTGGCTGAGACATACATTAGAAAAAGAAGTTTGATCGACATCGCGGACTTGTTTTGAGGCTCTCTCGCGATTGAAAGGGAAATTATGCATAATTGCCATCTCTTCTCTTTGCAGACACTCTGCAGACTTCACTCTTCCCTCCTCTTCTGTCTCTTCATTTTCCTCCTCAGCATTCGCTCCGTCACCCCCGTGACCCCAGCCACTCCGGTCAAGCGAACGCTCCACTTCCTGGCCAACGAGGGCTTCGCCCCGGTCACGCCCACTTCGTATAGTCCGCATCGCGTCCTGCCGACGCTGGTGGATAAACCCCTGCCAATCGCCATCTACACGAATAACGTCCAGGACCACTATTCCCACCTCAACTCCTACTTGCCACCCCCTCCGCCCACTGCCCCGGCCAACCTCTACTTCCCGCCAGCTATCATCTCGCCCACGTCCAACGGCCTCGACGACGAGGAGTACTATCACCACGAGGGGCGCCTGCTCAAGCAGTATCTCGTGCGAGAGGAGATCTACGACTATCCCGCGCCCGAGGACACCAACCCACTGCGCGCCAATCCGCTGGCGCAGCTCCCCGCGAGATACGCCAACCAGATTCCCTACTTGGTCAGCAGCAATCTCCTAGTTGACCACCCGTTCAAGCCCGACCGACTGCACAAGAATCATGGCCCCATCGCCCTAGGTCAGTGCCCCGCAAAGCCACTCAAACGCGCCCTAATCCGCACCTCCTTTTTCCAGGCTCTGGCTCTCTGGGCTACATTCAACTTCCCAACGGAGTCTTCTTCCTCGGAAGCGGCTCCCTGGGATACATCAGCCAGAAGCAGTACTATGACTCCCTGACGCCGGCGCGAGTGAGGCAACTTCAAGTGCCAGGACCGCTAACGTTCGGTCACAATGACCGATGAGCCTAAACCCCTTCCTTACCATTAAGAGCACACCTTAAATTATATTAAACTAGTCGATAGTGCATCAATGCAGAGAAATTGATATTCATTTTCATAAACAATAAAAATCCTTGAGGCGATCAGCTTTCGCAGTCTTGCAAAAGACTGGCATTTTTATATTCTTAGCCGTGAACATCTAGAAGGTCTCTCTCCAGTGAAACCAGGGAAGCCGGGATGGCGCAAAAGCCCCGTGATTGCATTTAGAGAAATTATAATAAAATCCATTGAATAATACACTTAATTCGATCCATTTACACAGACCCTTCAGCACTTTATTGATAGCCCAGCTGGAAAAAAATGACTTCTAGCATGGGAAAATGACACAATATAATCACCACAGTTAATGAATTATGCAAAAAAACCTATCAATCACTGCATTCCAATTACAACAGACGCGTCGCTATTTGATGAATGAGTCCGTCCCTGGCAAAATACTATGTCGTAACGTGAGCACGTGTTCGCCCCACTTTTCCACACACTCTCTCTCTCTCTCTCTCTCTCGATTGAGAGGAGTTCATTGAAGAAATGCGCGCGCGAGAGCCAAACGCAATTCCCCCTTCGATGAGCGACCGTGACAATGACTCGCTGTGTGATGTTCGCTGATGGACAAGCGATTTCACAAGCATCGCGATTAATTGCACTTGGGCAGTGTTCAGGCGGAGGTGCATTTCAGCAGGTATTTCGCCAATTGCCTCATCTGTTAAGCTATGACTTGGATAAAAAAAATCGATATGTGCGCGGGTTGATAAGGACAATGACGTCATATGACAGAGAAAGCATGAAATGAAAACGCCACACAACCTGAGAACCTCTCACAGGCGCAGGGATTCTTTATAGAACAACACAGAATGCCTTAGAACATTTAGAATAAACACAATTTGAACATATCTCGATACACATTCATGTATATATACTAAAAATGACAGTATAAAAACTATTATTTAGGATAAATTTGAAAAATGCGTTTTGCAAGTGTCCCTAAAAATCAAAGAACATTCCCATCCGAATTCATGCCTCCCTCTATTCCGCACCACAATTTGATAGCAAGACTTCCTTCGCGTGATTACCGAAAACCTGTTGACTCACAAGAGCCGAAATTTCGTGCCAGAGCGCGGCATCAGTGCTCGATGGAATCGCCTTCAATTCTCTGGTGTTCGTCTCACGGAGAAGATGGGAGAATTCTGAGCTGGCGATTTGAATAAAATATAAATAAAACCGCGGGCTACGAAGTGAATTTTTATCACATCGTGAGAAACCGAGAAGGAAATCAGTGTGTGGTGGATTTTGAAGCGCTAAGCGAAAGTGAGTCTGCGATGCCACTTCATCCATATCAGTCTCCTGGCCAATTGTGACTGCAAGAACAATCGCCAGTGATAAAGTGTTGTGAGCTGGGGTCAATTTGACAAGTTACATTTCTGCATTACAAGAGACTCACGAGGAAATTCCCTACGATATGGTGGAAGCTGTTCCAGCGCGAGGAAATGTGCTCGGAAGTAAGTTTTTAGCGCGCCATATGTTAAGCCTTCCCATCTATTTAGTGTGGCAAACTACAGCAGATAATTGTCTCTGAAGACGGGATAAATTGAATTCTTCTTCGTCCTGTCCTCAAACTTGGTAATTCCTGCGATATAGTCACGAGACAAGGACACATCAAGGTCAGGCCAAGAGCGACGGACACTTGTTGCTGACGTAAATCCAAGAAAGACGCCTTATGCTCAGTGGAAAAACTCAGTGAGGCGGAAAATTATTCTTCCTAACCACCCTCAATCATTAGGAAGTTCATTGACATGCAGTAGAACCGTATTGTAATGAGGGAAAATTGATCACAAGATGTGAAAAACCTGTAAAATGGAACATCGTCGAGATGAACTATTAATAGACAAGAAAATTACTCAACGCCCACGCATTCAATGCGATTTCCACGCGTGGTCAGAATTATTAAATCTCCCAGACAAAAGGCAATTTTCGCCCAAAGTAGGATAACGCCATAAAATAGTGTGTCAAGACGGGTTTTAATAGTCGGAGTGAATAAAATTCTATGGCATTTTGCAGGATAAATCTTGTCAAAGAGCAAAGAAAGTGCATTCACTCGGTGATATATATGAAATCTACGATTTTAAAAATGTCGTTGATCCTAACAAAAGTGAGATTAAACAGTTGAGAAAATCAAGATAGAATCCTGCACTTGATGTAAATAAAAATCAAGTGTAGAATTATTTTATTTCGCAAGTTGAAGTCTCTTTGCACAGCAATATTTGCCAAAGAAACTGTTCTCCACTTTGCTTCAAATATAAACAAACTCTTCAGAAGTCTCAGAAGTCGACATGAGGAATTTAGCGGCGTGTTCATAAAAGTGGATTAAACTCACACACTGAGCAAATCCACGCACAATTGCTATCGCTAAACCATATGTTATCAGAAAATTGGGCCTGATTGAGGAAAGTGGCAGCCAGATATTGAACCAGATAAAATCGGAAGTGTCGATCGTAAATTAATCAATCGCAAAAATGAGACACTTTTGACCCAAAACCTGATAACAGCGAACCGACATCACCTGTCCACGTGAAAATGTCTCACTCACTAAATGAAGCATTGAAGATCGCTTATGCAAATCGCCTCGGCGAAATATCAGACGTGAATTTTTATGGCTAGACAAATAAAGCTATGAAACTAGTTTGATGTTTATGTTCAGGGACGTATTTTGGGTTTGGTTCACTAAGGAATGTCCATCTTCGCCAGGTCTTCTTCCGGCACGCTATATTCTGGCCCTCTTGGGCTCCATCGGCATGGCCATCATCTACGGACTGAAGGTCAATCTGAGCGTTGCAATGGTGGCGATGCTCAATCACACCGCCTTGGCGTCTGCTCATGACGTCCTCAACGGGACAACCGGCGCCTCAACATCAGCAGATGAATCTTGCGCGGGAGATGCGAATGCCAACGTGGCAGTTGAGGTGAGAAATTGCCAAACAAATTCTCGCAATGTTTCAATTGTTAGACAATTAATTTAATGATTGTAAACTCACCCAGGACGGACCGTTCATGTGGAGTGAGCCTCTGCAAGGAACAATCCTAAGCTGCTACTTTTGGGGCTACTTCATCTCCCAAATCCCCGGCGCGCGGATCGCTGAACTCTTCTCCGCCAAGTGGGTGATGTTCTTCTCCGTCGCCATCAACGTCGTCTGCACCATTCTCACCCCAATCATGGCCGAGTGGCACTACATCGCCGTTATCGCGATGCGCGTCGGCGAGGGCATCGGCGGCGGAGTGACCTTTCCCGCTATGCATGTCATGATTGCCTCCTGGGCCCCACCCGTCGAGAGGAGTGTCATATCGGCGATAATGTAAATATTGACTCCTCTATTACACCCTCAGATCAATAGCTAATCGCCTCTCTCCGCTCCTCCACAGTTACGCCGGCACTGCTCTGGGCACCGTGATCTCCATGCTGATGGCTGGCCAGCTGGCAGCTGGCTGGGGTTGGGAGTCCGTCTTCTACGTCATGGGCTTCCTGAGCATCATCTGGATGGTGATGTGGATCTTCCTGGCACAAGATTCGCCCAGCAAGCAGAAGCTCATCAGCCAGGAAGAGCGAGATTTAATCACGTCAGCTCTGGGCGCCGCCAATGGCGACTCAGCGCACGGTGCGAAGAAGCCTCCGGTGCCGTGGAAGAGGGTCTTCACCTCGCCCGCCTTCCTGGCCATCCTCATCGCCCACACGGCCAGCAATTGGGGCTGGTATATGCTGCTGATCGAACTACCCTTCTACATGAAGCAAGTCTTGGGATTCAACATCAAAGAGAATGCTGTGGCCACTGCCATTCCCTTCCTCACCATGTGGCTCTTCAGCATCGCTATCAGCAAGAGTCTGGACACGCTGCGCAGCAGATCGATGATCAGCACGACCACAGCCAGGAAAGTGGCCACAATGTTTGCCTCCGTTGTGCCAATGTTCGCCCTCCTCGCGCTCTGCTACATCGGATGCCAACGGGGAGTGGCTGTGGCGCTCATGGGAATCGCCATCACTGCCATCGGCGGAATGTTCTGCGGCTTCCTCAGCAATCACATTGACATAGCACCAAACTACGCTGGAACTCTCATTGCAATCACAAACACCGCAGCCACAATTCCAGGCATTATCGTTCCAGTCTTTGTCGGCTACATCACTCATGGGAATGTAAGTACTCAAGCCAGAATTCGATGCTCTCAATCACAATGCTTAACTAACTTGCCTTTTCAGCAAACCATCTCCGCCTGGAGGATTATCTTCTACGTGACCATCGTGCTGTACATCATTGAAATCATCTTCTACCTTCTCTTCGGATCTGGCGAGGAGCAGCCGTGGAACAAGGGCGGAGACGTGAAGAAACTCACAGAAACCGACGATCCCGAAGGAGTTCCGCTGCGCCAGAAGGCCAGTCCCACGAGTTACACAAGTGAAAACGAATGAGAACCACTCATGCCCTCCCGCTGAGAATACTCACAAGGATTCACGTACAGTCCCAATCCCACAGACAATGCCAAGATATTGTACAATGCATCCTTTATAAGCGCATTTATGCTCTATATCAATAAATCATGTGCTTACCTAGCTGATCCTCGTCAATTTACAGAAGTACATCGGTCCAAAGTTCGACGGCAGGTGAGGTATCACCATCTGGCCGTACTTGAGTCCCTTGGGATTCTCAAATTTGAACATCTCATAGAAAGGTTTCATGACGTTGTTCAAATCCTTGATGACCACGGAGATTCCACGCTCCCTGAAGGCATTAGACAGGGCCATCTGAACCACTCCATCATTCTGGACAGGACTCAGGGAGCATGTGGAGTACACCAGAGATCCACCAATCTTCAGCATAGCCAGACAATTCTCCAAAATGCCCGCTTGCAGTTCAGGTATCTTCAGTCTCTCGTTCATCCTCGTGGGTTTGAAGATGTTGTTGTTATTCTCCATCACACTGTGTCTATCTACGGTGCAGGGAACATCCACAAGGATCTTATCATACTTCTTGTAGTCCTTCAGCATTCTCGCGTCCCCTTGAATAATAAAGCATCTCTTGTGTGCCCAATTGTCCTCAAAATCGAACACAAAGTCCCTCATCACGTTCTTGATTCTCATCACGCGTGACTCCGGAGTGTCATTGCAGACGAGCACGTTTGGGTAGAGAGTCTGCAGCATGAGAAGAGCCTTTCCTCCAGGAGCAGCACAAGCATCTAGCACAGTGTCGCCGTGTTCAAGTCCCAAAGCCAGAGGCGGCAAAATCGAGGATCCATCCAGTAGGTAGTGAGAATAAGAGCCAGTGATACATTTCTTGGGACTGGCGAACTTAGAGATATTGCACGGCTCATAGGTGTAAATGCGAAGATTATCTGGGAAGCTAAATTCCAATTCAGGCTCAATTTTCAATGGGAAATCCGTGTTTGCGTTGTAGTATTTGTAGTGATCCGATTCAAACACCCAATCTTCCAAGCCTTTCACTCTTGTGGCGGGCACAAAGTCATACAAAATTCCCTCGCCGTACGCCGGATCGACAATTCGACTATCTCGCACCTCAGAATCCAACTCTATCGAACTGCTTTCGCCCGTTTCTTTATCATTTGCATTCATAGTTGGCCGTCTCAAGTTCTCCATAGAATCAGGGATAAAATTCAAAGCTTCCTCCTTATCCTGCGGATACAGTGCCTGGATCTCCTCAGTCTGCCTCTTGACGAGAGTTGACTGGAGTCTTTCATCGAGTTTAGTGAATTTCTTATCAATTTTCTCAAGATCTTTAAACTCTCCTCTCTCTATTCTCTCTTTGGTAATATTATAGAGGGTTTTCACACTGATTGCACCTATGAGAGATCAAAACATTAACAGAAAAAGTGACTTGAATATGCAAAGAGTGTATCACACCTGCAGCCTCCAGTTTTTCCACTGTTTTCTCCACATCCCCAAAGTTATTCACCAATGCCATGTACTTGTGCTCACACAGGAGAGCCAATCTCATGGATTTCCATCTCAGCCCGAAGATAGACCCATAGAACTCATCAAAATTGGTCAGAGCACGATCTTTAGGGTATGTTTTCTTCCTCAATGCTGCCTGCAAAACAAAGTAGTCTAACCTCAAACTCCCGCACGGAATGTAAACAAACACAAAAACATGCGTTTCGCATTGACGATTTCACCCAACTCCTACTCACCCAGTGATCCGTACTATGTTTAAATCTCCTGAAGTGGAAAACTATACTATTTGGCCTCAACATCCTTAGGAAAACGAGGTTTTTTCTTGATTTTTCCTGCACCAATCGCCCTGTACTTTCACCACGAGTTGCCTGATGAGAGTTTCGGAAGGCGTTCCGAAAGCAGGCACAGCGCCTCTGGTGGCTAAGACATTCAGTAGTCAGTCGTCCGTACTGCAGTTGACGTCGCAATTTGAAAAAACTCTCTGGAAAAAGGACATTTCTTGCTGAAACCGTGATAAAAGTGACTGAAAACACTTCTTGTAAGCTTGAGTAAGTATTGAGTGTAGTTTTGGCGTGCTCATCCCGGGGAAAGTGTGTTTTTCTTGGACTTTTTCCGTGGGTCGATAGGGAGTCAACAAAGGAAAAATGTCTCTTTCACTTTTCCATCATCGCTTTGCCTCAATTTCTCCCATTTTCCACTGTGCTTTACTCATTCACCGTCCAGATTGGCAATCTGTGAGTGGCTGGGGGCGCCTTGTGACTCTGTGAGAGTGATAAATTAAAAATAAATTTCGATGAGCCACCTTTTGTCCGACAAGGAGGCACTGAGCGCGAGCGAGACAGCAAGTGGGGAACCTTGATGGGCGCCTTGCGTGTATTTTCTATATATTTATACTTTTTTCCGTGCCACCAGAGTAATCAGAGAGCTCTCTCGGTTGTCTTTGCAGCCTCTCCGGACGCTTAGATGCCCCATTAACTCCGCACGCCCACGCGCCAGCTGACAGAGAAGTCCAGAGAGAGCGGAGACAGAGTCCAGGTGAATCTGGTCAGGAGATGCTAGACTCGCGATGAGCAGGACCTCATCCTGATCCCATCTCAGCAGTGCCATCGATTAGTGCTGTGTTTGTGTCTGTGAGCGCACACCCACTCTTGTGGGGCGGAAAATTCTGTGTGAAAATCAATCTGTTTTTGTGGTGTTGAAGAGACAAACTACGTCGCAGACTTTTATGTGACTGAACTCGAGAGATTGAGAGCTCAACCGTTTTGCGTGGTCAGAGAGAAAGAAGATAGAACGTGTGTAGATGGCGAGTGACAAGATAGCGAGGGAGATTAAGGAGATGCAGCCGAAGGAGAGTCTGCCTGAGAATCCGCTGAAGAATTGGCGGGCGAAGTTTGACAACAACTCCCTGACCACGGAGACCTTCATCAAGTACTTCCACGCCGCCTGTCCGTTCTTCATCAACATCAAGCCCGAGGGAGAGTCTGGTGAGTTGCAAAGGATCACTAGACTTTAGTCAGACCACGCCCAATCGAATGTCTCGCCTGATTGTTGTCCTGGACAAAGGCGCTCAAATTGTCGCTAAGAGTGAAAAATATTCACAGAATTGAGAAGATATTTCTAACCAGAAATTGTTTACTTCCCGTTCCTCTTAGTTTAAACTTGATTGTTTAGAAATTCCGACATAATTGAGATCTTCTTTATCAGCTATAAATCGCTTTTCAAGATCCCAGTAAGATCAGTTGCTTTGCATTGCAAATCCAGATCGAGATTTCCGCACTCTTCCCTTCAGCAACAATAATAATTATATAACACATCAATTGTTGATAGCAAAGTCTCTTCGTGATATGAATACAGATTAGTTTTCTGGCACATTATCGATCTGTTTCTGTCGACTGCGCTGCTGATTTTCACGCTCAGGACGACGATCTTGTGGGTCTGCGTGAGAGTTTGTGGAGTGAAAGTTGAGCAATTTCGCGAAGTTCGTGACGATTTGTACGCCAGACAATTACTCAATGAATCATTTTCACTTTTCACTCTCCTTCCACGATCAGCTGATGAGCTCTTTGATCGAGGAATGCCCGCTGGGGCGCTCTTGGGTGGCGCACACTGAGAGGCGTGAAGAGTGGCGGCTTATATTTGAAGTGCACCAATAAAGAGCCCAAAGTCAATTATAGAAACTTGCGCACACAAGCGCTCAATATCTTACATATATTAATTCTAGTCACAAATTGACTAAACGCGCTTCCCGCTTAATAGTGCAAAATTGAGACTTGAGCTGGTTAATTAAGGCAAGGTGAAGGCGACGAAAACTTCCTCCTCAATTCTACAGTATTTTTTTTCTTTGCAATCTCTTCCATTGTGCATTGATAAACTTATGCGGTCGTTTTTTTTTCTTCCTGTGGAATTTCTCAGGTCAACTCCTTTGTTGTGGATTTCATTTCCCTGAATAACTGTCACCTTGATTGGTCTATTTCTGTTAGTTGGACGATGAGTCAAAGAAGAGGCGAATAAGTGCAGTTTATAACGTGTTTTGTGATTCTTTTCCCTCCCTTCACTTTTTCGTTACACAATTGACTGAAATAATATTTTTTGGGATGCAATGAGAGACACAATTGTTGGATAAGAGAAGGAATACGTAAAAATTCATGAAGTGATTTATTTGACGCTCCGATAGCGCGACTCTTTCACTTTTCACCGACATTGTGGCATTGGGAGATTTTTACTCTATACAAAATAATGTATCATCTCACACTTGACTGCACGCTTGTGCGTTAAATTGTGAGTTCACACTGATTACACAGCCGCGAGTGTGTCTGTGGGTGGGCTTGAAATGCTCATGAGAGAGATTTTGGGACATGATGAGAAGGGTTTCCTCAAGGGGGTGTCGATGTGGGTTCTCTAATCTCAAAGCTCTTCGCGAGGTGAAGACGTCATTGGGTTGAATGCGGTTCAAGTGAGCGCGTAGGAGAGTTTTTGATAAACTTGAGTGGCTGAATTGACTTTCATCAGACGATTTCGTTGGCGGCGGAATTGACTGAGAATCAATATTCGCCGACATTCACTTAAGTTTCATGGCATTTTAATGATAAAATCAATTTCGTGAAGAGTGTTTTGGGAGCATTATTGATTAGGTGTGTGCAATGTGGTACAATTAAACTCACTGGAAGGCAATTGGTGTAGTTTAGCCATTGTTTCAGGAGTTTTTTTTTGTTGAAGAATTAAATTATTTAGGGGAGAGCGGGACAAAATGCGACAGTGGTAAATTCAGATAATAATCTGATTCACATCTAGGATTAAGGCCGAATAGAATTTACCTCCAACGTTTAATGCTTTAGAAAATGCATCGAAAATTAATACTAAAATTTTCGTATCCATCTTCCCTCCTCTCCCCTATTGCAATAGTTTTCATCCAAAAAGCGAGGAACTTCTTTACACTTCATCACGGAGAATCATTTATTTTTTTTCCATTATTTTCTAAACTGCAAAATTAATTTTTATTATCAGAAATTGAATAACTCTTTCATCTAATTTGCTACGTCACTGAGGTGTTATCAGAACGAAATCATATGTAATAAATCAATGGTTGGATTTTAAGCTTACAAGAATGGGTTTTTGTGTGTATCTAAAAATTCCCCAGCCTTTTTGTGTGCTCTGCTGCAGAGAGAGAGAGACTGCGCATAAAAAGTCTCTCTTTTTGTCTTGCGAAATCTCCAAATATTTGTGAATAATGAGAATTGGCAAGAGATGCCTTTTGTTGATGGGCAAAATTGCTGAAAATAGTAATTTTGTCTGACGAAGTCAGAGATTGGCGATGGGGAGAGAAAGACTGTTGTGTGTGAGTGTTTTGATGAGAGGAGATTTATGTATTGACCGGAATGAATGTGACTCTGCATAATGAGATAAAGACATTAATATGGAGCATCTTCTGTTTATCTGTACAGAAACTGTTTGTTTCGATGAGCAAAGTGCCAAGGGGGCGATTTTGGATGCTCTGGAGGAGTTCATTTGCGGTGACAATCCGCAAAATGTGCTGGAGAAGCTCAAGTCGGAGAACAACGTGGCAGCAGTGTGTGGGCGCGTGTTCAAGATTGGCGAGCCGACGTACTGCTGCCGCGAGTGTGGCATGGATCCCACGTGCGTGCTGTGCGTGAATTGCTTCAAGCAGTCGGCGCATCGGCACCACAAGTACAAGATGGGCACATCCAATGGTGGCGGATGCTGCGACTGCGGCGACGCCGAGGCGTGGAAGAGGGATCCGTACTGTGAGCAGCACATCCAGGGATTGCAGAACAGCCAGCCGGACAATCCCATCATCACGGAGAGGATGAAGAAGGCGTGCGAGGTGGTCTTCCACGCGGTGCTGAGCTACTGCTGCACATCCCTTGAGATTGACTGCAATGGGAACATGTCGGCAGTGAATGAGGATGAGGATTCATATTGCACAGTTCTGTACAATGATGAAACTCACACTTATGAGCAGGTACAGTGACTCCAAATCCAATAGAGAATCAATAGTTAAAATTAATCCGTGGTGTCTTCAGGACAATTGTCCTGTCGATTTACATTTTTTGGTTGGTTTTGGCAATCAGTGGATTTTTTCTTCGTCACTCTTGCGTTTAGTTCGAGACTCATGATATCTGTTACATCAGCTAAAGCAAATGATTATAATAATATGCATGGATTCGAGGAAGCAGAAGAAAAGTGATAATTCACATATAGACTAAACAAAGCATGAAGTTTCACTCTCTATCTTTACGCTGTGATTCACTGGAAGCACAGAGAGAAAATATGCGAGAGAGCAGAAGAGCTTCCCCAAAAGATAATGGGTTTGGTGGTGTGATATTTTTATATTAACAACATTAATGATTCTAAATTTAGATGTTGATCCTTTGGAAAATTTTCTTGAGAAAGTGATAAAGACATATTTTTTTTTTATCTCTATGACAATGACAAAGGCGCGTTTAGAAATGGGAACAAGCCTAATTTACCCACTTTAGGCAGAGTTCAGTCGCCTTGGCTCTTATCACACAAACGTCAGAGCACAGTGGCGAAGATAAAAATAGGCATCGAATGTTGGAAATGGTGATTGTATTGCTCTTTTCTCCTCCTTCTGGCAGGTCATCCAGACATTGACGAGGACCGTGGCGTGTCCACACAAGAATGCTGTGGACTACGTTACGAGTGTGGACAGGGATGGACGGGCTGTTGTGTACTGTGGCTCCTTCAATGAGTGCGTGCGTCTGAAGAATGAGGTGGAGAAGCAATCTCTGCGGAATATCATGCACGCCAAGACGCAACCGCTGAGGGTGACTGTGTTGCACAGGAAATCACTGTCATATCAGCAATTTGCACTGCAACTGCTAAGTTGGCTGCAGCAATTTCTCATGCACTGTGCGGCCTTTAGGAAGGTCTTCTGTGATATCATCACCATGAACACAGACTACAACATCAATCACTTGCTGTCGAATGACTGCAAGTTGTGGAAGATGGCGAGGAGCAGCTGGCATCGTGTGTTGATCTCGGGAATGCTGATGGAGTATGAGAATAAGAAGAAATTGGCTGTGGTGTTCACCAAGTTGTATGCTTCAGTGATGCAGGAGTACATCAGAGATGATCACGATCACTCATTCTCAATTGTGTCACTTAGTGTGCAACTATTCACGGTGCCGACAATTGCTCACCACTTGATCGCCCATGAGAGTGCATTCTTCATTCTCATGCAGACATTCTACGCGGAGAGTGTGGAGAAGTATGTGCAAAACAAGGTGCTGCAGTTCGCAAAGACCACCATCAATCTCAATGTCTTTAAGCGTTCAGCGTACATTCTGTATGACGTCAGATACCTGCTCAATATCACCCCGGACGTGTGGACAGATGATCTGAGGAAGGGCTTTCTGCACGGCATGCAGATACTCATCAAGTTGCTGCGCGTAATGCAGGGCATGGATGCCGTGCATCGGCAAACGGGATCACATATTGAGCACGAGCCGGAGTGGGAGAGCGCGTTTAATCTGCACATCAAACTGGCGTACGTGATAAGTCTGGCTCTGGAATGGTGTCGCACGGATAAGGTGGTCCTCGTCAAAGTTTACCGGATGGTCTTGGCGTCACTGTCCGAGTGTGAATTCATTGTGGCGCAGACGGTGACGAAGGTGCAGGAATTGGCCGATCACAGTGTCACGTGCTTAATGTATGACGTGGCAAGTCAACCTGTGTCCATTCACTTGCCCCTATCGCGCTTCTTCGCCGGACTCTATTTGCACCTGGAGAAGTTTGGGCTGTCTTACTACACTGTGTCCGCACCTTCGTCAGGCTTGTCACTCGTACACCTGATTGAGCCTGTTCTGTGCACACAAACCATGATCGCACAGGTGCACGCAGGCATGTGGCGTCGCAATGGGTACTCTCTCCTTAACCAGCTCTACTTTTACCGGAATGTTAAGTGCCGGTCAGAGATGCTGGATAAGGACATTGTGACATTGCAAATTGGAGCCTCACTCATTGAGAGCAACGAGTTCCTCATTCGCATTATCAACAAGTTCAATCTGATGAGTTGGGTGTCGCCCACACCCTGGACAACACCCGAGACTGATTCCCGCATCAACGAGGAGGATAACATTCGCCAGACCATTAACATGGTGGATGAGTTCCTCGAGTTGCTGATCATCATAATTGGTGAGAGATATGTGCCGGGCATTGGGAGAGTCACTGAGGAGGACAGGCTGAAAAAGGAGATTATCCAGCAGCTGTGCATCAAACCATTCTCTCACTCTGAACTGAATCGCACGCTGCCGGACTTCCAGCACGAGACAGGCATGGAGAGTGTCATCAATGCCGTGGCGGTGTTCAATAAGCCCGCTCAGGCAGATCGAAAGGGTGTTTATGAGCTGAAAGAGGAGTTCTACGATGTGTACAACATGTTCTTCTACCACTACAACAAGGAGGAGAAGTCCAAGTCTGAGGAGGCGCAGCGGAAGAGGAAGAATGCAAAGAAGACATGCTGTTTGCCACCGAAACTACCGATGTTGTCAGAGGCTTTCTGGTGAGTAATTTGCCAAACAACAATGATCCAAATGGACTTCATCAATTTCTCTCTCCCTTTCAGTATGATTGCCAATCTTCTGCAATGCGATGTGATGCTGCTGATAATGCAGACTGTCTTGGAGAAATCACTGGATCTCAGAGAGAAGACTTTCGCTGAGGGACACTTGCAAAAGGTCAGATTCCAACTTTAAATTTGCATAAATCAATAGTGACTCACTGTTTTGTCTTTCTGCAGGTGCTTTATCTGATTGGATATGCGCTTCAGGATGAGGAGAGTGGTTACTATCCCTTCCTGATCTTTCACGAGAAAGCCATCAAGTGGAATATCTTGCATCTTCTGCAAGAATTGTCCACATATCCACGCGTTGAGGCCCTGGCGGAACATATTCAGTGGACGGTGAAGAAATTCAAGGAGCTTCAAGTGCAAGAGGATGAAGACAGTGGAGCCGGTACGAGTTCAAGTGGTGTGGCGATGGAACAGGATGAACCGACAGTGACGACAGATGAGCAAGAAGTGACGGAGACGCAACGACGTGCCCGATTGGCGGCCGATCATCGGGCGAAGATCATGGCACAGATGGCAAATGCCCAGAAGAACTTCATGACGGAGAATGCGGCACTGTTTGAGAGTACAAAGGCGGAGCTGGAGCGCGATGAGGCGCAGGATGCGATGGAGTGGGAGATGATTAGTGAGCAGAGTCAGTCATTGGCATGTTTGGGACCTCAGCGGAAGGTGCACATTGAGGAGGATGAGATTGTGTCGTGCATTCTCTGCTCTGAGGATGTGAATGTGAGCAAAGGTGGTCCTTGTATGGTGTATTCGGCGTATGTGCAGAAATCCACACTGATCTACGGTCCATCGAAGATTTATCCGCATGTGAGCAGTTGTGGTCATGTGATGCACGGCAATTGCTGGCTGGAGTACTTCAACAATGAGGTGCAGAAGGAGACGCGACGCCCGTACAGGAATAGATCACCGGCAAGCTTTGACACAGACAAGAAGGAGTTCCTTTGCCCGCTGTGTCGCTGTCTCAGCAATACTGTCATTCCGCTGGCCAGCTCCTTGCCTCTGTATTACGGCGGTGTGGGGCATCAGCCGGCGAGTGAGTTCCTGGACTTTTCCACGTGGTGTGACATTATGAGGAAGTTTATCGACGGTGTGGGCGGTGAGGAGGAGGAGATGCCAGGAATTGTGGCTATTTTGGAGGAATTTGGCCCAAAAGTGCGAGAACTCTTCACAGCGGCCTGCATTCCGCTGACGCGACAGATTGACAGGGATCTTCTGGGGCATGTTGGGGACTTTGTGTCCGTGATGAAGGAGTTGATTGGCATTAAGAAGATCAACAAGCATGTAGAGTTGTGGATGGCTTGCATGTACACCATTCAATCGGCAGAGATACTTTTGCGTGCCCAGGAGAAGCCGCTGAAGGGGAAACTCTCCATTCGACAACTGAGTTGCTTGTGTGGTGTGATCCGGATGTGTGGTGTGATGGGATTTGCAATGACGGAGAAGGAGAGGCGTGAATTGTTGCCACTATTTGCCCAACATCACGTGTTGGCGGGTGAGAGTTGCATACTGGAGGCAAATCTCTTCCAATCACTGGTGATGAGTGTCTTCATGACGCCATGCATTGTGTATGTTCAGAAGAAGAGTCAGGAGGGCGTGCAGAAGAGTGATTGTGTCATTCCCACGGGTCAATTGATGGAGTACTACATCCTGAGGGTGGCTTTCCTGCTCAATATGGCCAAAATTCTCATCACATTCTGCCCAGAAGTGGCGATGGAGGAGGAGGAGGGCACTCAGGAGGCGGATGAGGTGTTCAGAGAAGTGGCGCGGAAGGCTGAGGAGAGATATCGCAAGGAGCAGGTGAAGGAAGTGCCGTCAACATCAACATCAGCATCAACAGCGAAAATGGAGAAGAGTTCAGCGCCTGCAAAGGAAGCTGCTAATGAAGACGTGATTGAGGATGTCCCAATGGAGACGCCGCCTAAGGAGGAGAAGGAGGAGGAATCAGGCACAGCCACGCTTCTCGCTTTCTTCCGACTGCACAATATCTATCTGAGCGCCAAGGCAAGGCGAAGCATCACAGTTAAGCAACTTATTGAGGAGATTAAGGTGAAGAGTGCAACTTTCCTGCGATCAGCCACACTTTTGTTCTACTTCATCACGGGAATTGAGCTGCCTGAGGAGTTGTCACATGTCCAGGGGGACTCCTTTGAGTCGATGTGCGAATATCTAGGACTGGAGGCGAATGTGGAGACGTATTTCTTGTGCAAAAAGAGTTTGGAATTGATGACTGTGGCAGCTACTCATCCCACCATTGAGGCCATGCGCAGAGGTGAGATGGAGAAGAGCTTCACGGATGTGTATCTGCCGGTGAGGGAATTGAAGCAGCTGCCGGAGGACTACAGTGACTTGATCAACAGCGTGAGTCTCTTCACGTGTCCCAACAATTCCCGGGACGACACGAGGAATCCCACCATGTGTTTGATTTGTGGTGAGGTTCTCTGCTCGCACACGTACTGCTGTCAGAGTGAGATCAACAGGCTGACCGTGGGCGCTTGCACATCCCATGCTCACTCCTGTGGCGCCGGAATCGTGCCTCTGCTGCGGATCCGCGAGTGCGAAGTGATGCTGCTGAGCGTGGGCAAAGGCTGCCACGTGTCGCCGCCCTATCTGGATGAGTACGGGGAGTTCGATGCTGGACTGAGGCGAGGCAATCCGCTGCATCTGTGTCGGGAGAGGTATGAGAAGCTGAGGCTGATGTGGCTGAGCCATGGATTCTACGAGGAGATCGCCAGGGCCATGGAGATGAACAACACAATACCGGCTCAGTGGGAGTTGTACTGAAGATGACAGTCATTTCCTGCCCCTTGAGTTTCGCGAGAGTCTTTGTATATAATTGAGGTAAAGTTTCTGGAGGAAAATTTTAGTGTATATTGCGTTCTCACACGACTCGAGCGACTTTTAATTCAATGATTGTGCAGCTGTTGACGCTTTTCGATGATAAATGATTGAGTCTCCATCCTTTTTCTTAATCTTTTGATGATCACGATGAAAAGAGAGTCTAGTTAAAATCTTCGGTTTGATATTTTGTGAAATATATTATATTGAGAAAGAGAGACAAAGAAAGAGTAATAAACGTAATAAACGATTGAAGAGTATATTTATATTGTCTATAGATTCAACAATTTGTCTATAAAGTTGATTGGGGAGCAGCATTCTTTATCAGCGTTGATAAATCTGCCAGGGAGTCGGCGCAGAAGTCAGGAATGGCGCTTTCATCTGTGTTAGCCAGCATTTCTTCCGGCGAAGTTCCGCCGGAAAGGACTAAAAGCGACTGATAACCAACATTACGGGCGAACTTAATGTCTGGATTGATCATATCGCCGACAAAAAGCACTCTTTTCGGGTCTTTAATGTCAAATTGGTCCCGCAGGACCTCTCCCAGCTTCTTGCCGGGCTTCCCGAGTACGATGGGCTTCTTACCAGGAGGCAAACAAGCCACCAGGGCGTCTACGAAGTATCCTGGTCCGGGCAGATTGAAATTGTCCGTAACAGGAAGACGATGATCGGTGGCGGCCACTATTAACTGACATTCAGGATGTCTGAGATACAGTTCAGCTCTGAGATATTTGGGATATCCAAAGTTGAAGTCAACATCCATGATTACAAACTTAACTGGCTCGCCGTCTTTCACGTTTTTCACGAGGTTTGTAAAATTTTCCTCAACAAAAACATTCGGACCGTCGATGACTCTGAATCCCGCCTCGCGAACCAACGTCTTCGTGTACGTTGTGCCGATCATGTAAATCAATCCCTGGAAGTTGATCTTCTTCAGGTAGCGAATGATAGCCGCGATGGGATGCACGAGGTTTTCTCGCTCGAATTTGAAGCCAATTTTCGTGACTTTATCTTCATAGTTTTTCTCTGTGCGAATGCTATTGTTGGACATGTAGATGATCTTCTTTCCCAGCGCATCCAGAGTGTTGAGAGTCTCTCCAGTGCCCGGAATTGGGCTGAAGAGATTCCAGAGAACACCTAAAAATTCAATGACTTGAGTAAGCAAAATATTTATCAATAATCTGGTTTGGATTAATCCGGATTAACAGCAGGAAGCTTATGATTTCCACTCGAAAATTGCTTTTTTTTACAGCCATTTATATATTCCCAAATCACGCTTTCCCCTTATCAATTCATACCGTTTGTTAAATACTTACCGTCACAATCTGCCATCATGATATCAAATGAGTCGAGAAATTGCTTTCTCTCGTCACTGCTGAGCTTCAGCAGAGGCTTCACTTGGGACATCTTCTCGCCGATGCTCATCTTCACTTCAGCAGCACTTAGTCAAAACTGAAGAAACTCCAATTTATCGAGTGCACAACAGCGGATTGGCCTCGGTGATAAGATAATGACTAAAAGAAAAAGTGGAAAAAGCAAAGCTCACGACAGAACGAGAAAATCAGCACTGATGTGGCTTCGGTTGATTCCAAAGTGTTTCTGGTCACAATTGAAGCGATATAACGAGCGGTACGGCGCAGACTCGGAGATCAAGTAATTGAAACCGGAAGGCTTGATGATCAACAGAGAGGAGATCGTTCTCAATTCCCAATCAAACCCACATTTCGCGCCGCGACGTCTCCTAGTCAATTAATAGAAAGAGAGCTCAGTCAAGAGGCTTCCGATCAAGGTAGAATTGATATGTGATTATTTTTGCAACTTCAAAATGTTCGTGTAAATAACAAATAAACAAGAAAATTTTATGATTGCAAGATAAGAACTGTTAGAAGAGCAATCATTCACGGTTTTGTCAACAAAACAACTCTGTGTTTGCAGGATTTCTTGTGCACTGAAGAAAAAAAGTACATAAAAATACGCATATCTATTTTAGACCGTGTTTAGGCAGTTTTTGTCGATATTAGATTTCAAAATTTTCCTCTGTGATGTCTTGATTGACACCAGAAAATACACAAATGTGTTTTAAATACTTAAAAGTTGGTAAAAAGTTAAGGGGTAGAGGGGAAGACAATTTTTCTTAATTTTGTACACCACTTCTTTACTGTTTCCATACTCGTTCTCAAACTATAATAAATCTCTTAAGTTTTTTGAATAAATATTTTCCAAACTCAGCAGAGGAAATGTTGCAAATTCTTGAACATTTCCTCTTCCTGAGCTGTACACCACTCCAGACAGTATTATCTGCCCCTTGTAAAAAGAGATATGGAAAACATACGTAAATTTTCGAGTCTAGATTCTTTCAAAACTTTCACATTTTTTCTTATTTTTCCTATCAAATTCAATACAAAATGCATGATTTCGTGTGAAATACATTCTTCAATAAGCAATAAAGATTAATTTAATCAAGGTTTTCTTCGAATTTCTGAAGCGCATATAAGTGATAAAGTGAATGATAAGGCGAGTCTCAGAAGTGTCTTCGCTTAGCGCTCTAAAATAGCTCCACCTTGAATTTGAATACTTTTAGATATGCAAAAGCACTGGAACCTGGACTGATCGACGTGATCTTCCGGCTGTTGGGACAGAAGTGAGGACAATTCAGCCAAAGCGAGATCAGTGGCACTATTCAAAAGGGTCAAGTTTGGTGAAGTATCTCAATTTATGCAGCAAAGCTGTTCATCGCGCTGCGTCAGAACTTTAAAAGCCAGAGAAGCAATCCGAAGTGGCTCAGTTAGTGAGAATGGCAGAAGTGAGACACATTTCAGACTTGAGCTATGAGGAAAAGATTGTCTTCCTCCGATCCTTCGACACTATCATGACGGATTGTGATGGTGAGTGATTTCCAGTGAATGAGTTCAAACCATTGGATAAACTCTGGACTCTTCCAGGAGTTCTCTGGAGTGCTCTTCGCGATATTCCGGGCATTGGAGCGGCCCTAAATGCTCTAGAAGCATCTGGCAAGAGAATCATCTACGTGTCCAACAATAGCACTCGACCAGCCGAGGAATACAAGGAGAAGATCTCAAAACTGGGAGTTCAGTTCAAATACGAGAATCTCGTGCATCCCATGCTCTCAATCATCTACTATCTGAGGAAGATCAACTTCCAGGGTCTGATTTACGTGATCGGCACGACGCACACGAAGAACTTGATTCGCGAGGCGGGATTCAAAGTCCTCGACGGGCCGAACGGTGAGGTTGAGGAGGATTATATGAAGTTGCTGAAGCGTGTTCACGATGGAGAGTCAGTGAAGATGGTTATTTTTGATAATGACTTGAACTTCAACTACGCTAAATTCATGCGAGCCGATCTGTACCTGCAGAATCCCGAGTGCAAACTTATAGTTGGCGCCAATGATTACCGATTGCCAGTGTCTCAGGACTTTGATTTGCCCGGTCCTGGTCCTTTCGTGGACGCCATGCTGTCAAGCTTGGCTCCTGGCAAGAAGCCCATCGTACTCGGGAAGCCCGGCAAGGAGTTAGGAGAAGTCCTGAAGGAGCAATTTGACATTAAAGACCCGAAAAGAGTGCTTTTCGTCGGCGATATGATCAACACGGATATTAAATTCGCCCGAAATGTTGGCTTTCAGTCGCTTTTAGTCCTTTCCGGCGGAACTTCGCGGGAGAAAATGCAGGCCAACAAGGATGACGGCGTCATTCCTGACTTCTTCGCTGACTCCCTGGCAGATTTACGGTCAGTTTTTCATGGTTTAGCAATGAATTAGTGAAAGTTGTCTTACAAAAGGATGTTTAGAAGTTAAGCAAGTAAAAATATGTGTCACTGAAAGTTCATTCTCGATTCCATTCCAATGAAAGTAAAACGCAGAAGCAATAATATAGAAATTCCTCCTTAATTGCCGTCTTTCTTCTCTCGCTGTCGAACTAGAAGTTCCGCCTGATAAGAAAGTGATCGTCCTCCAGTTCAAGTCCACTTATATATTTATTGTTATACTTTCTCCTCAGAGTGTTTATAATATCGAAAAGAGTCACAATAACTGTCAATATATCAATATCCATTATATAATAAATAGTTCATATATACGTATATTATGTGTAAATAAAAGAGGTGTTGTAGAAAAACGACAAAAAATATATTGTGTGGAAAAGATTGTCGTGTGAAAAGTTAACAGCTTTCGTTGTGAGGTTTTTACTTCTTCATTTCGCTCTGGTATCAAAATCAAAGACAACAGTCAATCCTAACGTGAAAATTACTGCCACAAAACTTCAAGTACAAAAGAATATAAGTTAAATGCACTGGATCAGAGACTCTCGAGACTTTCAATTCAACATTAGACAATTTCTCCGTATTTGTAAGCTGAGGCGGCTTAATTGGCAAGAGCAAAAATTTTCTCTTTCTCTCTCTGATCATTAGATTTTCAGAAATCAGCACCACATAATCTTATTATCATGTCCCTTGCAAAACATCTCTCAAAACGTTTGGTATAAATTTCAAATTATCTATATAAATATACCCCAATTTGACCCCATTTTATCTCACTCACAACTTTCTTCTTCCTGTCCAAAGGCACATTTTAAGCCCATCAATTTGCGCCCATAGAGAAGTCAAGCATTACATAAAACTATATCTTCTACAGTGTGCGCCAAAATTACCCAAACAACCTAAAACCATGACAAATAGAGGTAAAATCATCCTTACAATGCTCATCACTGGGTAATTCATCACTTATTGTGCTAACTAAAAATTTTGTTTCACTTTTTCCGGGCAAATCTGACGCACTCTGCAGTAGAGTTTGCCGCAAAGTCCAATTGCTTTCCCCAATATTGAGTTATTAAGTAGAAAAAAGAAAGGTCACACAAAGAAGGAACTCAGAAACTCACGTAGATTCCGTGCTATTTCGCCTCGGTCGATGCCTAACATCCCCACCTTCCTCACCCTTCACCCCACCATTCGGCACAATCGCCGCAGGAGTCTTCGCGCCGGCGGACTTTAGGCGCTCCTGCTCAATGATAATCTCCCGCGTCAAGTATTCTTCGCGCTTGATGCGATCGCGCAGATGTCGAGGCTCATCAGGCACTGCCCACGCCACCAGCATTTGCACGAAGCCCACCACGTTCTGGAAGACCACGAGGAAGGCGAGCCTGGCAGCCAGGATGTGCCAATAGATGAGCGGACGCTTGTAGGGTCGATCAGCCCACGGAGGATTCCTGTACTCCTGATATCGACACATGGAGACATTCACAAAGTTAGTCTGCACTGGTGCAATGCCGTCCTGGAAGTCGCTGGTGTTGAAATACGCCAGTGTGTGATTCAAGTAGCCCACATCCGTCTTGTCCGGGTTCACAGACAACATATACACCAGACGTGGGATGAAGTTAGACGAGAAGGCAATGATAAAGGCCTGAAAAGGACATTTTCCCATTACAACATCATCCAAAATGAGATCAAACTTGCCACTTACGCTAGAAACAACAGCTATCCTCACGAGGATATTCATGATATTGTACCACACGCCAATGTCTTTCACTCTCTTAGGCACTGGTCGTCTGTAGTACTTCAGGAACTTCTTGGCATCCAGTCTCATTTCGAAGATGTTGTTGATGAGAGCAAAAAGTGGCGCCAACGGAAATGCCACCACGAAGATTGTGATGAAACCATACTGAATGATCATTTCGAGGTAGTCGTCAAACAGTCCACGACTGCTCCACGCCAAAAGCTTATAATCCTCTGTCCATTGACTGCAGCAAATCAGCTTCTCGCCATCGTCTTCCTCACTATTCTGCACGAACTTATTGCGAATGGTGTTGTAGGTCTTCTTGAGGAAGGGCACAGCCATCTCCATCACGGCATTCAGCGCCTGCTTTCCCACCATGATGATCACCAATTGGATGCACAGCTCCATTAGACAACCACCCGGACTACATTCCTCCTGTCGCAGCTTGAAAATCCTGTTGTACTTCGCCGGATAGCCCACAAACTTCCCCTTGAGGAAGGCAATGTAGAAGATGGAGGAGTAGTAGTTGACGAACTGGAACATGTAAATCTTCAGCGTGAGACTCTCGTCGTACTCCGTCTGCGTGCGCCTGTATTCCAGATCAGTGAGGAAGACCGCCAGATAGTCGTAAATATAGTTCATGATTGTGATCACCACCAAGTTCAGCAGGGCCGCCGTCACGGGCGTCACCATGATCTTGTATGACATCGAATCTGTGTTCCCGTACAGATTTCGCGTCGTTGTCGTCGACATCCGGTATATGATCACGCCAAACACCGCTGCGACGGCCAAAAATATCTACCCAGGGCGAGATACAATGTATTCAAATTAGGCACATTATGCACACACACCTTCCCCATTTCTGGCTCAACTCACAAACAGGAAAATCACGGAGAAGCTGACAAAGTACATGGGGAACTTCTTCTTCCAGAACGGCACCGACGGCTCCAATGTCTGTGTCACCACGTTGAATTTCTTCTTCTTCGCACTCTGCAATCTGGCCAGATATTGCGGCCTTGCGTGCTCCGCTTGGTGGCAGAATCCCGTGAGGCCCCATCGGTGGATGATCTTGGCTGAGTGTCTCTTCCACAGCTCCAGATAGACGACAGCTGCAGAGGAACGAGAACAATGTACTGTGCTCACGTGAGTAATAAATTTGTATCCAACTCACCCCAGATGGACATGAAGCAGGCGAAGAAAACGGTGACGTTATTGTCAATTAGGTGGGCGACCCGTGAGTAAACACAGGTCTCCGAGAGGTACCAGTAGTCACACTTGGCATCGCATTGTGGGCACATGATGATGCTCTTGCCGGCGCGGCAGATATCCTCGCTGATCTGGTTGGAGAAGAGCGTCACGAGGCCGTACAGGAAACACAGCAAGCCCACGATTGCTGCTGGGATCAGCATGTGCGTGTAGAAGCCCAACCAGGCGAAGTAGAGAGCAATGCGAGCCCCAAAATAGTCCCGAATGTGATCCAGAGGCTGATGCTTGATCCAGTGCTTCACAGAGGCCCACTCGTTCAGCAGCAAATGTCGCTGACTGTCCGGCGTCTTGAGGTCTCCATCGTGAAGTGGATAAGCATTCGTGTAAACTCCATCACTGAGGAGCTTCTCAATGCCCACATTCGCCTCCTTGTCAGTCCCAAATCTCTGTCTCTCCAGAATGAAATTCACCACAGCTATTCTCACATCTGGCGAGAAGAAGTCTGGTCGCTCTGTGTCAAAGAGATAGCTCTTCTCCCTTGAGAACTCGGCGCGCAATTCATTATTCCTCTCTGGAAAGAGTGTCGGATCGAGCTTCACGAACTCAAAAGGCTTCCCGAAGAAGGACTTCATTTCATCCAGCAAGTGAAACTCCTCTTGAATGATATCTTCACTGCCCTCAATCTTCTTAATCGGCATTCTCATCTTAAGAATCTCACAGAAACGACACAGCACTTCGCGAGGCGCGTGAATCTTCACAAAGTGTATCCTTTGGTTCTGCTCCACCTCCAATTCCAGACCCTCATTCATGAGATTCGTCTCAAAGGCCTCTCGCTTCTCCGCATTGCCGGGATTCGGATCGTCTCCGACGTACGACAGCACAAAATCCACCGATCGCTCGCCATCCTGAAAGCGTCGCCAAGTCTGCAAAGAAGCCACGAAAGATGAGTTTCCTCCAAAAGCCCAGAGTCAAATCAATCCTATAAGCTACGATTTACACTACTTTAACTCCACCGCAAAACCTACAGGTAGTCTGGAAAGTGCTTCTTTCACCTCTTCCATGGCCCGAGAGTGACTAAATAGACACTTATCAACATCAATTGCAATCGCTTTCTGTCAATTGCTAAAGTACTTTCCCAATTGTTATTAAGATAGATTCTGACTGAGATAAGATTCTCTATTGCCAGGAATACAACATTTCGTCTTCGTGCCTTTTTTCCACATTAGAAAATGAACCAACATTATGACTGAGCCATTTTCGCAACATTTAGGAATATTTATAGAAAATGTGTTTCTGGCCTTTCCATTTCTATGCTTTTGATTAGGAAGAAATATATATTTACAAGTGAGTCAACGCGGCGTTTTGAGAGTGACACACTAAATTATCTTGAAGAATAGGATGTAAAAAATAAGATAAAAGGGAATTAAAGTAATGTACATCATATTGAAAATTCAAGGAATATTATTTTGGGGAGAAAAAAAGCAAAGCAATTGAAAACTCAACAGATTTAGTCACTTTCTCAACGACTCATTAGCTTAGTTAATTAAACACATATTAAGTAATCTCTTGATAAATTTCTCTCCAAGGCTTTGTGTGTTATTAATAGCTTGAATATTGTTATGATTTCATGATTTACAGGCAGTTGAATAAACAGTACTATTCATGTTATTGATCTACAGAAATAATCGTATTTAGAATGTGTGTTTAAAGCAAAGTTCGAGTCATACTGCATTTTACAAGTTTCCGCACTGAAATCATCCCTAAATCACTGCTCGAGAAGCAATTTCTGTATATCAAATAAAATTTATTGACTCTGATAAAGAGGATTAACCCTATCAGTCGTGGCTCTGATTTTCTACGCGTACAAAAGACCCGCCGAGAGTATTTATTAAAGTCATATTGAGCGGTTCGGTGCCATCCTGTGCTCAGAGATACTATAATTTAATGCAAGCACATAATCTCCACACATTGTTTACTTTACACTATCAGAGTACATAAAACCGACCGGAGACTGTATAGAAAAAAGGCCACATCGAATTTCTCAACATGAACCTCAGCACAGAGTCTCTCGATAAGTTCTTCACAGTCAAATCTCACCAGAGAATTAGCAAATTTAATGGACAAAGAGAGACACGTAAATCACTTGAATAAATTCTTGCTTATGACTCGCCATAAAGTGCACAGAAATCTTCTTTCTCTCACATTTTCCACATCTTTTGCCGGCTGTGCGCGTCATCACAGTGCCTGACTTTATAATTATAAACCCAAAATTCCCGCATGGCTTCCATATGGAGTGAATGCAAATTGGCTTTTGGGGCGCGCAGAGAAGTGAAGCGCGGAGGCGCAAATTAACAGCAAGAAAAACACCTACAAATTCAAACTCTTCGTCTCTACTCGTGCCACTGAGTGAGATGAATTTCGCCAAAATGACACCCATCAGACCGAAATTCACTCCACATAGTTCACTTCTTGTCCCACACAAGGCTCAAGCTCGACTGAACTGTGCGCAATTCTGCTCTTAATCGCCACGCAAAGACTCTTCCTTCGTAGCCGAAAAGCAGCTGATCGTGAGTCAATTGACAAATCTGTGCAAATTTTTACCGTCTCCGGAGTATTAATTAACCAAGCATTATACTCTGCAAGATGACTACCATTTGTGGCCAAGGTATTCCCCAGAAATTCATCAACACAGACACACAATCTCCAGAACAAGACAAAATATCTAATCAAGATAGTTATTCACCATAATTCCAAACCTTCCAAACACTGCCAAGGGAGGAAGAAATACCGGATAAATTGCCCTTGAGAGTCAAATACTTTTCACACTGGGTGGCAAAAAGCCTAAAACCCACAAAGACGAGCTCTGCGTAACACAAATAATGTCTTTCACTTTCAAAGGTCGACCAACGATTGGCGGGCTCAATACAAACTTACGTGAGTCTCACACGCAATGGGCAGTTTTTCCAGCAAGATTCGCATTTTCTCATGCCAGAGAATGCCAGAGGTTCACAGAATATCGCACAGTCCGTAATTAATCGGAGACAGATTATCTGAGAAATGCCTAATGAAGCAAATTGACTAGAGAAGTTGAAGAAAAAATGATGAAAAGCAGAGGCGCAAGTGTTTTGCCAACACAGGTTTTATTCACACTAACTCGCAAATACGGCAATTCTGATTCATTTTGCGAGAAGAGGTGAACATATAGTGAATATTTCACATTTAACAAGAAGTCGTCTGACTGTGTATTGCATTACTCATGAGATTATTTCTCAATAGAGGCAAATATAGTATCAAGTTTAAGTGTTGACACGCTTCAAAGACGCTCGTGAACTTGTAAGTGTATCGAAAACATTGTGATAATAATCTGTGAAGACAAAAAAAAATTGTTTGGCGGAAATGAAGAGCATTACATAGAAGAACTTGCACTGTACATTGCCAAATTCGGCGCTTTTTGATGAAAATTCATTGAATTACGAAGTCTAGTTTGTCTTACAAACCCTCAGTTAAGCTTTATGTAGTAGAAAATCTCCAAAATCTTCTACTGAGGAGCACATTTTTCTTTAGAATTTGATCCCTGCATTAATTAATATCGCATTTTCCTGATAAAAATTGATTTCAAAGCTCAAAGGAATGTTGATAGCGTGAATATTGAGCCCGTGAAGCGTCATCAGTCGACCAACACTCTGTGGCGAGAGTTTCACCCTCAGCGCAGACATTAAATTCTATTCAACCCTTACCAATTACCCTAATTGAAAGTCCACACCCAGGATAAAAGAGGAGAGAGCAAAATAGAGGATTGGGGAAAGTTATGCAAAAGTGGAATTTAGCAAGAATTCTAGCTAATAAATTGTGATGAGACTCTCTCGGGGCATTTCTTGTCGGTGTGCTTGTGAGTTAATCGCCCCGCGAGGCCTCCTGAAGGTTGTACAGAGAGTTTATAGGATTAACAGAGCGATCCCAGGCACCAAGAGAGCTAGGGTTAAGGTAACTGTGTGCGCGCTTCTGTCCAATTAGCCAGCCAGTAATTTTGTGGGCAGAGAGAGAAAATCATCGTTTACCCTAGCTTTCCACTGCGAATAAGTTATCGTCTGTTTTTGTTTAATAAGGAGTGCAGAAACCTCATCATTTTTCCCCGGAACGTCACTGTACTTGGCCACGCTGTTAAGCCGGGGGCTCACGACGGGCGCGTCCAGCTCGTCCTCCTCGTTCAGGGCGCCATTCTCCTCATACAGATCCTCAGCCGAGTGGTAGATCGTCTGACGCGACAGCGTCAGCGATCGCCGGTTGATCGCCTCGGATGCCACAGAGATCGTGTCCAGGTAAATGCTGTCTCTGTCGTCCATGTCCTCCAGGCATTCCTCGTACGGCTCACTCACATTCACTGGAAGAAGCCAATGCAGGAGATTAGACATGCCGCACACGGCGCCGTCAGGACTTCCCGACATCCCAACTTCAGGACGCTCAGGACAGTCCTGAAGAGTCACATAAACAAGCCCAATTCACACAAATACATCATCACAAGAGGCAGGGAGTGACATGGACGTGTAACTAAACAACCAGACTTGAGGCAGTGCAAGACGGAAGAACGGTGCAGAGTTGAGAAGCCACGAAATCTCACCTCTTCGGTACATCTTTAGGGCTCTATTGCACACAATCCTCGGCAGTTCTGCCCGTCCGGGAGGGCGAAAGAGTGTCTAGCCACTGGCGAGAGACACCGGCTCTGAGATTACAGCTGGTAAATCTCTGCCCAGCTGATAAGCGCTATCAGTGCATGCTTCCTCGCCACTCACACAGTCTCGTCGGCTACCCACACTGGAGCCCGCGCCCTAATCTCTCGGGCAGTGGAACGCAAGTTCACGAGAGTATCGAATTTTAGAGATAAGGAGTGCGCGGAATGCCGCTCTCGAGCGCTGATCGGCGGGACACCGCACGGGAGAGTCGAGTGGCATAGGCAGTGAGGCTGGGGAGGGTCGGGATGTGGCCCAAAAACGCACCTGTTTGTCGGCTTTTTCACCTCTTCCTGGAGACTTTTGACATCTCTCTCATCTGCACATGACGTCACCTCTGCGAATACCCAGCTCGCAGATGGCGCTGCCGCTGGGCGCCGAAGAAAGCGCGGGAGTCGCCGCAAGACCATCAATTCCGCGAAATTGTGCCACACGATTCGAGTCATATGGAGTGAAAATGAAATTGAATTAAGTATGCAAACTTGTCGCCACAGAAGGAAAAGTGAAAGAAAGCAAAATGAAGATCACCAAAAGTTCACTTCCGCACTCTCAGATTCATTCCAGTCGCTGAGATGAGGAGTACATTGGCTGTGTTCCTGGGACTCGTGGCGTTCGCTTCAGGTGAATATCACACTTAATCTTTGCGTCGATATTCCCCTTCAAAGTCGCGTGTCATCTTGCAGGAGACTGGCTAAACAATGATCTTCAGCATGAGGAAGTCTACTTTTATCACTTGAAGCCCAATCAGACTGTGAAGGAAGCTCTCCTGGCCAGAGCTCGTCGACCAGCTGAACAGAATTGCATGTGCACAACCACCCAGTGTGATTGCTGTGCAGGACTCAAGTTCCCGAGGCTCAAGATTGACCGGCAGATCTGCACAAAAATGAACTACAACAGGCAAACATCCCTCCTCAGAATGGGAGTCACCATGAATGGGAAGCAAGTTGGCCAGCAGACAATTTTCGGTAAATATACTGTGAATTCGTCTCTCTGGTAAAGTAAGATTTTGCGCCATTGCAACTGGGATTATGTTTTCCTTCCAGTTCGCCAGTCAGACGGTTCTGGTGGTGGCCAGGAAGGCGGAGGAGGAAGCAGCCCATCTCCCTTCTGTCTGCCCATTCCCATTCCCTTCTTCAACATCGATCTCTGCGTGAAGCTCTTCGATCTCGACACGCCCGGACCGAATCTGCACATGTGCATGGATTGGCTGGCCAGAATCGCCTCGGTGCCCATCATTGTGCTCCACTTTGACTGTATGCAGATCGGCCTGGACGGTGTGGCCTTCATGAAGCCCGGAGAGACGCTGGAAATGCTACCTGGTGGAGTGAATCCCGTCGATCCCACCAACCCAATCATAGAGCCAGGCTCTCCAGTTCCGGTTTCTCCGGTGGCGCCTGTGAGTCCAGTGGCTCCTGCGCCTGTCCAACCGCCGGACACAGGTATCATCACATCGCCCAGTGGCCCGAATCTGCCCCAAATCGGCGGCGATGGAAGCGATTTTGACCCCGTAGATGAGATTAAAATTAAACCGTGGTACGTTTGACTTCCTAGTGTTTTTTTTTGGTATCACAAAGTGAGAGCTAGAAGAACTCCCCGTGGATGCTGAGGCGCTGGAGGTAGGATTGCGCTTTGCAAGTCAGCAGCTTGTAGTCGTCGCTCTGGAGAGAGAAGTTCCTCGCTGCCTGATAGTGTGGCCCTCGGCGGACTTTCTCCAGTAAATTCTGAGCGTCGAACTTTGGTCTCGCGGGTTGCGTTGACTTCAGAATAGACTGAACAAATTCCGCCAAGAGAGAGTTGTTTTCACTCTGATTGTCCACAAAAGATCTCAAGTCTGCCGGATCAGAGGGACTTTCTGTCGTGTTGAGAGAAGAACTGGAACTTGTGTTGTCGTCGTCGAAGGAGACAAAGGATCCAGAAGCCTCTCCTGTGATCTCCTCAGCCTCCTTGCTATCTACAGGGGATTTCGTGGTCTCCTCGGGCTTCTCCTCAGTCGGGAGAATAATGCTGTCGTCTTCCGCTTTCTCCTCAGTGGTGGCGTTCGCCTCAGTCTTGTCCTCCTCTTGACGCTTGCTCTCCTTCAGGAGACTTAAGATCTCGAACACAATATTCTTCCTTGTCTCCTCCGGGTCAGTCTTGGTGGTTTCCACCTCGATTGTGAAGTTCTCCATTGGCTTCTCCTCGGGAATCGTGTCATTCTGCACGGTAAACTTGAAGATCTCCCCGCGGAAGTCGATGGTTTTGTATCCGGCCAGGAGATCTTGGCGTGGCACATCATAACAACAGCGCAGAGCCGCTGGATCGATGGGATGGGCTTCTGTGTTGAAGATATATCCACCAGCCTCAATCACGCACTCTCCATTCGGCGTGCTGATCACTGTTCCCGAACGCCCGTCGTTGTTCAAGAAGTTGTCCGGATCGAAGAGCAAGTAGAGGTATTTTGTGGTCTCCGCCAGGAAGAAGGACTCCATTCGGTCCTCCTTCCTGTGATCCCTCACGTTCTTGATCGTGGCGTAACCGCAAGACGTCCTGGCACTGTGCTGGATACTCCTCAGCATGTCCTCGCCCACTTGCAGCAGAAACGGATCCCCCGTGGCTCTGTACAAGTACATCACAGACTCTATCAGCTCCGGCCTGAGCGGGTAGTTCTCCCGATTGGCGCCCGCTTCAGCATTTGGGATGTTATAGAATTCCGGCAAGAAGCCGTACTGCTTCCACACGCCCACGTAATTGTGCAGCGTCTTCATGGCAGCACTGATGTCACCGATGAGACTCAGCACGCCTGGCCAGTAGGCTTCCAGTGATTGAAAGACGGGAAGTGTGACCTGTCCCTTGTTCATGCTGACCCAAATATACCAGTCGTCACGCTTCAGGAATTTCTCCACAGACGCTCGGCCGGCGTTGAACATCTTCATGAGTTCCGGTCGATTCAGCATTAGCGCTCCCTTGACCAGATACTCATAGTACGAATCGACGCCGGCGCCAATGCCTGCGTCCTGGGCCGTCCACCTGCCCGTCTGCACGTCGATGTGATTCCCGAACAGTCCGATCGGTGACTTGAACGTCTGCAGAGCGTAGAGAGCATTCAGAGCAACTTCCTCGTAAATCGGATCACCTGTCAGGCGACTCAGCGCGCCAAACTCCACAATAAACGTCCCCACACCAGCTGTGCACGTGACGCTGGTCTCTCCCGGCGGGATGCCGTGCTTCAGATTCACCGTTCCATACGGCATTCCCGTCTTGGTGTCGAATGCAGGCAGCAATCTCTTGGCCACGTCCTCAGCCATTCGCAACAGTGGTCCATTGCATGGCCAACCAGGCTCCAGCTCCACTCCCGCCCGTCTGGACAGCAAGTGGGCACTCAAGAGTCCACCGACGATCCGAATGTTTGTCTCGAAGACACTCACATTGATGTCTGAGTCGAAGTTGGAGTTATTCACGAGAATCTCCACAACTCTCTGGAATTCGGTGTTGTTTCCCATCACCGCCAGCGTGTCCAGGGCATCGATCAGGGTGAGGGAATAACTGCCCCAAGTATCCACGCCGTCGCAGGACAGTGGCCGGAGTTCGTCAAAATCGCTGGCATGTCTCAAGTAGCCATCGTAAGCATGCTGGAACATTTCTCGAACTTCTTCTCTGGAAAAGGAGTTTCAGCTATTCAATTGAATTGGTGGATTTTAGGAACACTCATTAACTTACCGAAGGTTTTTGATGTCCTCCTTTGTGTATTTGCGAAGAGCGTCACATTTTAGAATGGCCAGGAAGAGGAAAAGCAGCAGGAAATATAATTTTCCACGTGAACAGGTCATTTTCCTGCTTTATTGTTATTTTATGACAGCTGATTGGCATGGAATTTCGGAAAAAATTCAAATAATTTTCGTTATGCAAAAAAACTACCCAAAAAGTATAAAAACAAAGTAAAATAATAATACTTTTTTGGTAATTTTCCATACAAATTCTATAAATAAATACCAAGATAAATACTTCTTTTATTTTATATTTTGAGTATTTTGCTCACGTTCCTCACATAAATTCATCATCACTTTCTTGAGAAAATAGAGGATCATCTCTCACATCATCTTTTATCTTAATGCCCGTTTCTTCTTTTATTCTCTTCTGCTGATTCTCCGGCGTTGATCCTTGTTCGCCATACTCAAGCTTACACAGCTCCAGAATGGATTCTTGCATCTTCTTCCTTTTCTTGATCGGAACATCTCCAATGTGTCTGTCGTAGTGCTTCTGGAAGTTCGATATCACCCATCGGCGATCATGGAGGGTCACTTGAATCGCCGACACGCAGAAAGGACACAAGATTTCTGCTTTCCTCGGTGCTGACAGTGTAATCTCAGTTACGAGGAGAATTCTAGAATCTGCATTCTTCGACACAATCCATTTGTTTACTTTCTGCAATGATGAAAACGAAGATAACTACAAAATTCTTGAGGTGTACAAAAGAAACTGAGAACTTACTCTGAGCAGGAATTCCTTATTACAAATTTCAGAATTTTCTCCTTCACCACAACTGCTGGTGGGAGTGCTTCTCTCATTGATTGGCATGCCCTTTCCCTTCTTCAGTGTCTTCGTGATGAAGAGCAAGACGTTCTTGTATCCAGGCTTGATTTGGAAGGTTTGCGGTCGATTGTAGTGACCACCCCAGAGACTCTTCCTGACCAGCTCCTCGCAATTGTGCTCCTGACCACAGGAAACTCCGCTCACCATCAAGCTCCTGGTGCAGGACTCCGCAATCCCGATTTCCTTTTCCGTCAGAGTCGCCAGCATCACGGGATCGTAGAATCCCACAGCGGCCAGCAGAAGTTTCACATTCAGAGGAATCGACGTTGCCTCTTCAGCGTACTCTTGAATCTTCAGCCAGCCTTGCAAGAACTTCTGCCGCTCCACGTCTACGACGTCCCAGATTTTGGGGCAAAGAGATTGAATTTCTTCTTCCATTTTCACGACACTTCTGTCACTTCTCAATAGCAGCTCCACTTCTCGCACTTTTCAGACGTTCATGCACTTCCTGAAGCTTTCTTCAAGAAGTGTTTCCATGTAATTTTACAATAAATTACACTTCCTTAGGAGGCACTGCGGTGACACGCGTAGAAAAATATTGACATCAAAAATAAAAACGAGTTTTTATTACTATGAAAAACATGAAAAAGCATTGATAAGTTTGTGATATGTAGTGTTTAATTTAAAAAAAAGAAGGAAAACATTAATCTCAACCAGAATTTCTGCAACCCAGCGCGTATCACATATCGTAAATTCATGAAATAAACCTATGGAAATTTACCATTTTTCATGTTTTATCTGTAACTATTTTAGTAGAAAATGCATGAAAGACGCAATTGAGAAATTTTTTTGGCGCGCTCCTCGCCACTGAACTATTATTACACATTTTTTACACTACATATACGGAGTGTAATTTATTTTCTTATTCGGAGTGGGAGAACCTAATTTTCCGAAAATGTCAGCTGGATGGCACATAACCTCACATTGAAGCTAATTGCCACGGAATCACGGCTGTTGGGTAAATATTGCGGTATTTTGCTGGAAAAATCATGGAAAAACTGGAGAAAAAGGAAATCAGTCAGGCTCTGATCGTGGCGGACAACTTTACGGACAATTTCGCACCATTTACCGACACAAAACCACTGGTAGAAACTTGTTGAAGCGTGAATTGAGTTTCACAATACTCACTTGGAATTTCTTTCAGGCGCTCCTGCCCATCGTCAATGTGCCCTTCCTGGACTATGCCATTGAGTTCCTCAATTTCAGCCGCATCGAGGAGACGTTCATCGTGGTGAGCAATGGGCTGGAGCAGGTGCGGAGCCACATTGAGCAGCGATTGAAGGAATACTACATCTGGTCGGTGAAGATGACAATCACAGTGATTGGATCTGAGGGCAGTCATTCTGTGGGCGATGTCCTCAGGGACATTGACGCCAAGGGACTGATTCGAGGACATTTTATTCTCATGACTGGTGACACAATCTCGAATGTCAATATGATTCCGCTGCTGGAGAGGCACAAGCAGATCGCGAAGTTCGACAAGGGCGCCTGCATGACGGTGCTGTACATGGAGTTGCCGCCGGAAATGCGCACAGGGGACGAAGTGACTGTGGCTGTCGATCGACTGAACAATCGTCTACTCACGCACCAGCGACAGAATCCTTTGAGTCGCGAGAGGAAGTTCTCCTTTGGCCTGGAGTACTTCAAACTCCCGTCGGGCGCGGAGATTCGACACGATTATGGCGATCCCCAGATCGCCATCTGCTCTCCAACCGTCCTGCCCCTCTTTGCCGACAACTTCGACTTCGAGACGCGCGATGACTTCATCCGCGGACTGCTAATCAACGAGGAGATCCTCGACAGTCGGATTTACGTGGCTGAGTTGTCTGCCGGCGAGTATGCGATGAAAGTGAGCAACTGGCAGAAGTACAAGATGGTCAGCAACGACATCATCCATCGGTGGACGCATCCTCTATCGCCAGACATGGGCATCGGGCGGCTGAAGCTGCAGTACAACATCTCGAAGAACCTCGTGTACAAGAACAAGAGTGTGCAGCTGGCCAGAAGCAGCGTCCTCAAGGGCAGTCTCGTGATCCATGAGGCGAGCTCGGTGGGCGAGAAGTCCTGGCTGTCTGACTGTGTGGTGGGGAAGCGCTGCCGGATTGGCAACAACTGTAAGATCACAAATTCCTTCATCTTCGACGACGTCACAGTGGAGGACAATTGCCGGCTGGATCATTGCGTCCTCGGCCAAGGATGCATAGTTAAGAAGGACTCAACAGTGACTGGAGGCGCAGTGTGTGGAGACAGAGTGATTCTGCCTGAGAAGAGCAGCATAGACAAGCTGACGATCCAATCGACGGCGCCGGAATTCTCGGAACCGAGCCAGAAACTCGGAAAATCCGCATTCGTCGTCCTCGAGGAGCGAGAAACTGATGCTCAAGACTCGGACGATGACGATAAGGACATCACGCAGACGACAGTGAAGAGAATGGCTCCGACAGATTACGCAGATCACGAGAGCGATCACAGTTCCAGCTCAGATGAGGAAGAATCTCAGCGAGCCTCTCCTGTGCCTGAAGATGCCAACATTTTCCTCTCGGAGGTGATCGACAGTCTCAAGAGAGGCTTCGAGGAGAAATCCAACCCAGAGTTTCTCGTCCTGGAAATCAATTCTTCACGCTATGCCTACAATATGTCGCTCTCGGAGGTCAATTTCTACGTTGTCCAGGCCATCTTTCACTTGTCGCCTCTCGCCGAGGCCACAACGAGCGTTCTGGCGGCGCTGAAGCAGATCTACAGTCATCTGGGACCAGTGTTGAAGAACTACATCAAAGGCGAGGCAGCCATGCACGACTGCTTGAAGGCAATTCAGGATATTTGTCAGGAGAACAGCAATCTGAAGCCAAGAGTCTCCCAGATTGTGCACTTTTTCTACGATGAGGACCTCCTGAGCGAGGAGGCCATTGTCTCCTGGCACGAGGACTTGGGAGAGGATGCCGAGTGGCTCAGGGAAGGCCTCAAGAAGCTTATTGTGTGGTTCCAGGAGGCCAGCAGTGACGAGAGTAGCGATTGAGATTTTGTAAATGCACTGAGCTGAATCGAATTGAATGGTTATTTTATCTGTGAAGCTACGCCAATGCACTTGAGCTGAACTCCAGTCGAATTGCGGTGTGTGCCTCGGCTAGCTAAAAAGCCGAAACATAAATGAAACACTATTGAAACATCTCAGCCAGCCGAAAATGCCAGACAACTAAATTTTCCGAGCAGAATATGAAATGAGACATACTGATTCCTTTTTCATTTCGAACAAATGAAGAAAGTCAGAATTCGTGAAAATGCACAGAAGAAAAACGTGTGTTTTGAAATTTCTTGACTTCCTGCTTCAGCCGCGAACTCAGGGCTGACCATAGTTGGGAGAAGCCGGGGAGTCGAGGAGGAGACGCCGTACATGGACGAGGTACATGACCGTAATGCACGATGTCCTTGAAGTCCTCGAATTGCTACGTCTAGCGCACATTATGATTTTTCGTTTTTTGCCGTTGATCGGGTTATATAATTTGAAATAGCACATGCGCGCCATTCCAATCGGAACAATTGCACAACCCCAAAAAAGTGACTGAAAGTGCCGGGTAAAAAATGTATTTCTATATTTGGGGCCATAAAGTATAGCGATAGAGTGTGTGGACGGCAAGTAATTACCTTCTTTGTATAATATTGGCGTGAAATCGTCTTGAGTACCAGGTCAAAGGCTATCGGTTCTCGCGAGCGATGCGATAGTGCGGCTCCCAACTTCTCACACAATTTGCGCACAAATTATTGATGGATGGTGGTGGATTTGTTGAAAAAGTCAGTGGTGGACAGATGCTCCAACAAATAAGCAATATTATGTATTCTGTGAAATAATATTATTGCGGGAATTCTATTGTTTGCACGAGGAAAACCATCGATCGGAGGCGATAAATTGACATTTGAGTAAACAATGTCACGTGCCATCTGCAGTCTGGTATGGAAAGTAGGAGTACCACGTGTGCTGGGAGCCAATTTGGTGGACGCTACAGCGGTTCTTGGCGTCTCCAGCTCATCAAAGTGGTGGTCTTGTAGGAAAACTAGTGCGAAAGCACATCTTCTTGGAGTCTGTGCAACAGCAAGATCGGTAAGTGCAGCAGTTCTGTGGGAAAGATGGTGTGAAATGTGGGAAACCACTTGTTGCGCTTGTGATGCAACTCGCCGGGAGGGATTTCAAGGCTCCCGGACGAGCTGTTTTCGCGATAATTCTCCGCAAATATCACACACCGCTATCGCCTGACCTACTTGACCTCACCCAGGGCCGAGATTATTCTGCTTTCATGCCCCATATGCCATAGAAAGTGATCATTTGAGAGTAATTTCTCGATCTTGCTGCATCTTCACCGGGAACAGAACTCAGGATGGCTTCTGTAGGCGCTTCCAATCTCTTCCTGGGTAATTTATCTACAATCTCTTCTTATCTTACAGTTCAGCACAACCAGCAACATGGCAGGAAACTCTGCCCTTCTGCACTCTAATCTCTGGGATTCCGATCCTGAGCTGATGGAGCTGATCAAGAAAGAGAAAGTGCGGCAGCTGCGCGGCCTGGAGATGATTGCCAGTGAGAACTTCACATCCGTGCCCGTGCTTCAGTGTCTCAGCTCGTGTCTGCACAACAAATACTCCGAGGGGCTGCCGGGACAGCGGTGAGACGCGCCTCCCGAGCGGAAATTGGACTTAACGAGACTAATCAGAGCAATGATAATCTCCTCAGATACTATGGCGGGAACCAGTTCATTGATCAGATTGAGGTGCTGTGTCAGAAGCGTGCTCTGGAGGCGTACAAGCTGAATCCCGAGGAATGGGGCGTCAACGTGCAGCCGTACTCAGGCTCTCCGGCCAATTTGGCGGTCTACACGGGCATTTGCAACCCCCACGATCGCATCATGGGCCTGGATCTGCCCGATGGCGGCCACTTGACGCACGGCTTCATGACAGCCACGAAGAAGATCTCCGCCACGTCCATCTTCTTCGAGAGCATGCCGTACAAGGTGGACGCCAAGAGTGGCCTGATCGACTATGACAAGCTGGAGGAGAACGCGAAGCTCTTCAAGCCGAAAGTCATCATCGCAGGCATGTCCTGCTACTCTCGCTGCCTGGACTACAAGCGTTTCCGTGACATCGCCAACCAGAACGGAGCCTTCTTGTTCGCCGACATGGCCCACGTTTCTGGCCTCGTGGCGGCTGGAGTGATTCCCAGTCCGTTTGAGTACTGCGACGTGGTGAGCACGACAACACACAAGACCCTGCGAGGCCCCAGAGCGGGCGTGATCTTCTTCCGAAAGGGCGTGCGAAGTGTCAAGGCGAACGGAGACAAAGTGATGTACGATCTGGAGTCGAAGATCAATCAGGCTGTCTTCCCGGGTCTTCAGGGTGGTCCTCACAATCACGCCATCGCTGCCATCGCCACGACTTTCCTGCAAGCCAAGTCGCCGGAGTTCGTTGAGTACCAGAAGCAGGTGATCCTTAATGCTCAGCGCCTGTGCAAGGGTCTGATCGAGAGAGGCTACTCAATTGCCACTGGCGGCACAGATGTCCATCTCGTGCTCATGGACCTGCGCGGCGTGGGACTGACGGGAGCCAAGGCGGAGTACCTTCTGGAGGAGATCTCCATTGCGTGCAACAAGAACACGGTTCCTGGTGACAAATCTGCTCTCAATCCCTCGGGCATCCGACTGGGCACGCCTGCTCTCACCACTCGTGGCCTCGTGGAGAAGGACATGGACCGCGTGGTGGACTTTATCGATCGCGGACTGAAACTCTGCAAGGAGATCTCAACGGCATCGGGTCCCAAGTTTGTCGACTTCAAGAATCTCCTTCACAAGGACGAGGCGTTCGTACAGAAAGTCTCTGCGCTGCGACATGAGATTGAGGAGTACAGCACGACATTCCCACTGCCCGGAATTGAGGATTACTAGACTTCCTGGCTAGAGTTTTTGTCCGATAAAGTGTGGCTTTTGTATTTCAAATAAGAGGCTTGCAAATATATTTTGGCGCCGCTGCGAAGAAAATTTCTACGTATTTGTACAAAAGTCTACCCCTTGGCGCTATATTTCGTCCATATAATAAGGAATTTAGGGAATTTATATGTGAAACGTGTAAGATAATTATAGGAAAAGTGGCTTTTTGAGAGCTCAAATAAAGCGAATAAAGTGTATTTGATGCTCTGATCTGAATCAGAAAGATGTGGTTTGAGGCAACGAATGATTAATCTCGGCTAAATCCAGTGGCGTCCGTCGTCTCTAAGGCGCGACCGCCGCGGCTGAATAGTTCTTGCATGCAATCATCTTTCGAATTTCGCGCCTGACGCGCTCTTTTTCCACGCCCAGCGCCCCCTCGCGGTGGAATGGTGTGTCAGTAATATTGTGTCAACTTGTTTGGAGAAGCAAGTTTGGTGTTTTTCAGTGTGGAATTATTGGAAAAATCCAGTGGAAACTTACCCATTTTCGTGGGGAAAACATCACAAGCGGCAAGAAGAGACCACAAGGCAGGTGGGTTTGGGGTTTTTGCGCGGGGGGCGACGGTGGGGTGTGTGATTTGGTGGTGGGAAGAATGTGATGTCACACTGGGTGAAATTGTTCGTTTCGCCTCAGGATGTCTGCCACAACTCAGCAATTCTTCCTGCGATGGAACAACTACGTGAATCACCTGACGTACGCCTTCGACTCGCTGCGCACCCAGGAGGACCTGGTGGACGTGACGCTGAGCTGCGAGGGGCGCAAGATCCGGGCGCACAAGGTGATCCTGTCAGCCTGCAGCACATACTTCCGCGAGGTGTTCCAGGAGAATCCCTGTCAGCACCCTGTGATTGTGTTCAAGAATGTGCGCTTTGAGGATCTGTCGTCGATTATCGAGTTCATCTACCAGGGCGAGGTTAATGTGGTGCAGGAATCTCTGCCGTCGTTTCTGCACACGGCGGAATTGCTGTCTGTGCAGGGCTTGACGGAGGGCAGCACCGACAAGGAGGGCCGCGACACACCTGTGCCCACGCCGGTGAGCAAGCAGTTCAGCGTGGCGTCGGCCACGAAGGCGCAGACGTCAGGGATTGTGACGAGAATGGTGACGGGCAGTGGCCAGGCGACGGTGAGAGAGATCGTGAGGCTGCCGCCGAAGAGCACGACACTCAGCACAGTGACGACGGAGACGGCACAGCCGAAGCGAAAGCGCTTCTACATTGACTCGGACGACAACATCGCCATCGAGGGCATCAACTTCGTGAAGCAGAGCCCGGACACGATCACCATCGAGAACGCCAATGTGGAGTTCACGCCCATGAAGATCGACATCCCGGAGTACATCGACATCTCCACGACGGCAGACGAGAGCACCAATGCGGGCGAGGAGGTGCTGCTGGAGGAGCGGACGGACGACGCGGGCGCCAGTGCGGACGACGAGGCCGGCGATTCGCAGGATCAGGACATAACGGATGGGGACTCGAAGCCGCAGATTCTGGCCGTGCGCAGTGTGTCGGAGGGCGACATGGAGCAGTCCTACACTGTGCAGGAAGTGGATTCGGGCGACCTTCACACATCGGAGTACAGTGAGTGGCTCAAGGAACTCAATGAAGTGTTCTGTGGCTAATCTTTCCACCTTCCTTCGCAGCAGATCAGAGCAAATACAGCGCGGACAATCAAGGAAAGGCGGACGACAAGGGATTGCAGCAAGGTATGAACACTTGATCCACTCATAACTTCCCAATTCAAATGGGGTTCAGAATCGCGGCTTGGCTGTTGTTTTCTGGGAAATCTTCTCAAGTGTTTTGGAATTGATAACAATCTTGTGTGTGGTCTTAATGGTGTCGGGTGTTTGACAAGATGCCTCTCTCTCTATATATTTTTTGTGCAAAACAAGAGACACCTCTTCTCACCGGGGTTTGAGAGATAATGTTGCGCTTATCAGTCTCTGTCCTGCCCTTATTTTTCTGTTTTGTTCCTTATGTTTCATTTGTCTCTCTCTCTCTCTCTTTCACATGCAGATGCCCAACTACGTTTCCGTTGCAGCATTTGCTGGAAAGGGTTCAAGCATCCGATGTCATTGACACTACACAGGGATTTGCATAGCGGGAAGACCAAGTGTCCAGTATGCAAGAGATCATTCTCACGAAGTTACGATATGCGGACACATTTGAACAAGATTCACAAAATAACCCTCAACTTTGATGCCAAATTGAACATTCACAAGTTTTAGGAATCCAGTGATTCCTAAACTTTATCGTCACATTATCACTTCTTCCGCGCGACCAAATTAAATACAATTGATAGCGCCGCGATAAGAGAGAAGAAAAGAAGGTCAAGGAGAAGAAATATGACATGATTCTGTTTCCGAGAATGCAATCATTGTAATCAAAGCGTTTTTATGCACACGACATTTATTGTTTTTAGCGAAGAATCCCACAAATAATGACTAGAAGTGTTGACTTAGTGTAGAGAATAGGACATAAAACTAATGTTTCCACGTGTTTATGTGTGTATAAATTGGGACTATTAAAGATCCTGGTCGATCAGCGCGTGTATCCACTAAAAATCCTGCCTTTTGTTCAGATACGTCCAACACGAAGTGGTCTCAGTGTCAATTCTGCAAGCTGGTCATCACGACAGTGAATCTCTGGCGCCACGTAAGGACGCAGCACACGTCTCAGCCGCCGCGTAAGTGTGACTACTGCCAGAAGAGCTTCAAGAACAAGTACAGCCTGCGAGAGCACATCCGGATCGCCCATGAGTACAAGAATGCGCCGCAGAGTGACGCGAAGGAGGCCAAATAGGGCAGAAACGGCGACGGAGCGCCAGCGAAAGTGTGTGTATTTTTCTATTAAGGCCCCCAACTGAAGTAAAACAGAGAAATTGTACTTTAATGTGAGCGTGCAGATGAGTTGACAAGTAAAATGCAAAGAAAATCATCATTTTTCTCACTCCGCATATACTTCGTGAACACAACACTTGTTGGTCGCACTGAAGACCGAAGCCGAGTGACCGATGAGTTAAGACTATACTTCACAGGATCATTTCTGTAGTTTGTCTTCATTAACGGTAGTCCAAATTGGATGACCAATCAGCCACGATGATGAGGCACAGCACCTTGTCCGGAGCGTGAAAAGGGCCCGCGAGATGCACTCCGGTGCAACTCCCGGGCCGTTGAAGATCGTCAGCCTCGGGCTTCCGAGGTGGTGGTCAAGGTGCAAGCTGAGTGGTATTTTTAAAACTTTTTCATACACAGCAAAAAAACATAGGAGACGAATCTTCACTGACTTGAGCGCTATTCTTGGCTTTGACTGCCTTTTTTCTTCAGCCATAGAGAAGAAAGCATTCGAGAATGCGGGAATTTTTTGCGCTTTTGTTTTCTGCTTAACCCTCACCAAGGCATTTGTTATTTTCTATGTATCAAACCAGGGGATTCTCTTAGAATACTTGCTAAAGAATTAAGTAAAGATCTTCTATAGCTTCTCTGTCAACAAGCTGAGGCATTTTCATGAATTATTTTACTTAGAAAAATCAATTTTATTGTTTTTCGAGATTATATGGTTGATTTAAAAAAGATTCTGGTATTTATAATATTTATAAAGCCCTCAAAATGGTAAAATTTGTTTTTAAACTGGAAATATTTCTATTTTCCTTGGCATCAGGAAAATTGAGCATTTGCATTTGTGTTCAAATTGCCCGCAAAATAAAAATCGCGCTTCGAATTGATAAAGTCGATATATCGAATATCAATTCACATAACCTCATTTTTGGTGCATTTTCACACGGTTTTTACAGTCAATAAATTTTCTTGCAAATATGCTAAAATTAAGTAGAATAGTCACGTGTATAGGTATGAATCTTGTCCTTCGGTATCTTTAGCAACATTTAATTGCAGAAATCTTTCCAGAAACCTCCGGAATGCCATGGAATTGTGGCCAACGAGTGGGTCTGAGAAACTTCCCCGCTCCCATTAAATTTGATCGTGAGTCTTGAGAAATGGCCCAGAAACAGTCGGGAAAGTAATGAATTTCCTATCTTTGAACAGCCATTGAACCTGTGGACAGACCAAAGTTGAAAATGATGGATCGAGCGCCCTTATATCTTGGCGGCATGCGACCGCCGAAGATGCAGAAGCGCCTGAAACTGATGCGAGGCCCCGAGTTGGTACACAATAAGCTCATCCACCAGCAGTACGGAATCATAGCGCTGGGCGGTGGACGACTCAAGTGGAATCACTTCGAGATGATGAGGTTCGGCATTGGACGGCAGCTCGACGTGAGTCGGATGTTCGCCATTTGGCGCGTGGACGCGCCGTGGCAGCCGGTGACGAAGAAGGGCCAGGGACAGCGCATGGGCGGCGGCAAGGGTCCCATTGACCACTACGTGAGTCCCATCAAGGAGGGGCGTGTGATTGTCGAGCTGGGCGGCCACCTTGAGTTCCCGGAGGCGTACAAAATCCTGCAATTGGTGGCGCACAAGCTGCCCTTCAAGGCTCTCGTGGTGTCGCAGGAGATCCTGGAGAAGCGCGAGGCGAAGGAGCGCGAGCGGGAAGCCGCCAATGTCAATCCATACACGATGAAGTACGTGATTCAGAACAACTTCGGCGGCTGCCACAATTGGCTGTCGCCCTTTGACCACAAGTGGTTCGGCAGGTACAGATAGAAAGACTTTCCGGGAAGCTCGTAATTTAGTATGATAAACAGTTTACTTGTAATCTTGGTGTCTCCAGTCGTAATTCTGCTTTGCCAGTTCCGGATTAAACTGCGAATTGTATTTCTGCTTCATGGGCCGCACGGGAACTGCCTTTTCCGGCTCCTTCTTCGGCTCCGGATCACCTCTGAGCTTAGCCAGGAAGGCTTCCGTCCGCTGGCGCTCTGCCTTTTCCCTCTCGAGTCTCTCAGCGCGCAATTTCTCAAGCTTCACTTTCCTGGCTTGTCGCTCCTCCTCATCTTCAGACTCAGATCTTGAACGCTTGCGTTTCCTCTTCTTCTCTTTCGACTTGTGCTTCTTCGCTCTCTTCTTAGGCACTGCCTCCGCCCTGTATGAATGAAGCACGGACTCGTACGTCTTCAGGAGGGCAGGCTTTGGCACAGGAGTGGAACTGGATGTTTTTGACGACGATCCTGTAGCCAAATATCGCTTCATCACGTTCAGAGGATCGTTATACATCTTCGATTTCAGACCCTTCTCCACAATCTTCCCACTCTCTGCGTAGACATCCTGTCTCTTCGGCACTTCCTCGTACCAGCTTCGCTTCCCGAGGGCTTCATTCGTGTCCTGACCCAAGTAGGTCAGATATCCCACTTGCTTCTCGTACTTCTCCGTCTCCTCCTTCTTCTCCTTCAAGTGTTCAGCATTCTGACCCTCAGCCTGGTACTTCCCACTCTCCAGGTCACTGAAGAAGTTCACATGCTCTCCAGACTGCTGCTTTTCCTGGATTTCTCGACTGGAAGTCACTTCACTGTGCCGTCGATCCTTTGCCTGCTGTCTCAGGGTGTCTATCCGAGCTTCTTGCTCCTGAAATATAATTCACTCGTCCAATTACACTCTTCTGGGGATAAGAGGATTTCTAACATACCGCAAGAGCAATCCTCCGGAGACGTTCCTTCTCCTCGTCCGCCGCTTTCTTCTCGTCCCGTCGCACTCGTGCAATATTCTCCCTCGTTCGCACGTGCCATCTGAAAGATCACACATATATCATCAGGGAAAAATAGATTTTCCGCCCACAAAAACGCACCTTTTCTTTGGCAAGATATTCATTGTTTTGCTTTCATTCGCAAAACAGCTGTCAGCAATTGAAGTGTTTCGCGATAAATCCTTCGATATATCGAATTATCGAGTTTCCAGCAAAGTGTCATATTTTTGCCAAGTCGGCTGATTTCCACGAAAACTCCCTCAAATGGCTGTTAAAAATTTCCATAAATTCCTACTAGTGGTGGGATTTGTGTCACTGATTCATGTAGCCTATTCTGCAGCGCAACGTGAGTAGAGATGCCGCGAAGAAGGTGAAAAACAAGTAAACTAACCTCACTTTGTCTCCATCTGCAGACAGAACATACCTGAGAATCACGGAACAGGAGTTCAATTCCCTGCCATTTGATGTGAGTACCGTCAGGCGGTGTGGGAGACTTCCCCGAGACTATATTGCTTGTCTCTCTTCTAGATTGTGCTGCAGGCTGTGGTGAGCCTGATAGTGCTGGTGTATAGTATTCTGCAAGTAGTCGGTGAGTTCCGTGAAATCCGGGCAGCTGTAGATCTGCAAGCCAAGTCCTGGGAAACGCTGGGCAACATCCCCTCATTCTACATCTTCAACCACCGCGGAAAAAGCCTTTCCGGTCAGTACGATGACAGCGTGGAGACGAGCGTCGACTGAGGCGTCCGGGAAGCCCCCCTTTACTCCGGAATCTATTCGAATGTAAGGAATCCAATTAATTGAATTAACACCAAAGGCGAATGCGGAGGGAAAAGTTTTTAATTTCATTTTCCATTTGATATGAAAATTTGCGCCATTCATTTGAATTTCACTGGAAGAAAATTGCATTAAGTGGGCTGTGATTGTGGGTGGTTTTGGTCTCGCCGAGCCGTTTTTCGACATTTGAATAACACAGTCGTCACTCCGGCTCCCGCAAAAGGGGCTCCAGCGGAAGGGGTGAGGGTGGAAAAAGTTGTCTCTCCTTCCGTTCCTTTTTGGGATGGCAAAACAATTCGAATCGACAGTGTTTGCTCTCCTTCACCACCCTTCACGTGGGGAGTTTTGAATGTAAACACTCTTAATTGGCGGCAGCATTTAAATGCGGAGCCCCTGCCACTCAAAAATTTGATATTGTGTCTGCCTCTGGGTGCCCATTTGCACCAGAGGAACATGCCGAAAACTCTCTCTCGGAAAAACCGCAATGCTCCAAATAACTTCCGCTCTATGCAAATTCAATGGCGAGCCCGCATGGAATGCTCATTCCTTCGCAGAGGGTGGCACTGGGGCGCCTCCTCGACTTGCTACGAGCTTCAAGAGCCCCTGTCTCGGTGCTCTCGGGCGGAAAATCGGCGCAAATTTGCCGAGAAAACGCATTTGTCCACACAAAAAAAACCCATGCAATACTTAAAATACTAGGCCCCTAGACATTCTCGATGCAATAATTAGTGGCTTAAATGAGAAAGAAGAGATCTTTCCGCTCTAGACTGTGTACAGGAGCAGCAGGAAGAGGACGAGAAGGAAAAAACAGCCAAAAAATTCTGGAAAACTGCCAATTTTTGAGCAACTAAGGAAATTTTTAGAATTTTACACATTAAAGTCTCTTTTACTGAACCAATTTGTTCTCTTCATTACTAATTAAGTCATGGCTTTTCGATGTGAACCATTCTAACCCTAGAATTAAGTGAAAATGTTACTTTGAAAATCTGTATTCAGATCAATAAGCTCGGTTAATCCCTAATAAACTAGTTAAGCGACAAAAAGGAGGAGAGAAAAGTTGACGCCACTTTTGAGAACAAAAATCTGGCAATTCGTTCGAGCATTAATAAGAGGTAATTCCATTCGATTGAAGTGGAAACTAAAGTTCACGTCTGATTAGTTTCCCTTGTAGGGAAAATTGTTGTTCCAATAGTGGAAAGATTGACATCTCAATCAGCCATCGTTGAATTTTTTATTATTCAATCCTTGAATAATTAGGGAATGCAAGTAAAAGCACAGAAATCAAGTATGAAATTCTGGTTTGAGCTGATGCGAACTTTGAGTACTTAGCTAAGTGCTTTCACCTCCATTCGTGCAGTTTTTCGCCATAATTCAAACAGGACTTAAATGCAAATTAGAAAAGTTTTTCAGGAGGGTGAAAATTTTCAGTAATATTAATTAAAATAATAAATTTCAAGGAGCTTAGTTCAATTGGGGTGCACATTTAAAATTCCACAAACAAATGGAATTTTCATGGGAATTTCTCAAGTGCAATTAAACTGGGTTCCAACAGGGGTAAGAAAAATTCCACAAGCAAATTGCATTTAATAATTGAGGGATCTCCCAAGTGTGGTCATTTTTCATCAGCATCCTCGTGGTGATTTTAGCATATTCCTCACGCTTTTTCTGCACACCTGGCGTGAAGGCACACCGCAGAACTATGCGCATCCTATGCGTTATTATGCATTCGCTGGCCAGTGGAGCAAATATGGCCATATTTGCATTATGCTTTTTCAATAAATGCGATTTTCCAGGGATTGAATTGTTACGCGATTTTACATGGATTCTACATCACATTGTCTATCGTGTGGAGGAAAAATGTGAGTACAGCCGAAAACAGCATTTATCCGTTCTTCTATAATTTATGCGATTCGAGAATTTATTATTTGCATTGTTTAAAAATAATTTCGCTTCATGAATAGAAAGCAGTCAATATGAATGTGAAATTTTTGTCGCTCCATTCATTTTTTTTTTCCACCCATGACAATTTAATGCAAGCGAATTCAATGGTGGAAAAAAAAGTAATTAAGTTTGTGGAGCATGCAAATAAATGTGTGTCACTCCTGATTTTGGCGGAATTTCGCTATAAGGACTTCTCAGAACTCTGTTGGATTACTATCGGAATTCATTTGATTTAATGCAATGTCGAACTTCGCCTCTCATCACGGTAAAGTCTGTAAAACATAATATTGATGGAGCTTATTAGGGATTTCGAGATCGATTGAAATCCACAGTTGGTTGATTTTTCATTCACATTTCCCGATAGAATATGGTTTTGGCCATGTAAAAGCGTCCAAATAAATTAGGAATATTGACATTTGCCGCCAATGGTGATGAATTAAATTTCACAAAATATCTTTGTCGAATTTACAGAGTTATTTTGGAATTTTGATTGATAATTTGCGACACTGAAGTATTTTGCTACATACAGCAAAACGTTAACCAATAAGTGAAGTATTTTGGGAATTACCCAGGGGAAATGCAATAAAGCTGAAGTGCATTGAAATATAATATGGTTGAAAATATGTCGGTGAGAGCCCTTGAAAGTGCGTTTCGTTTCAAATTACATATATGATTTTGGTTCAATTATATTGACCAATAATTGGGTAGGTATTGAAAATTCTACATGGAAATACTTGTGCACTACATGCAATTTCGATCATATTAAAACACGCAATTCGGATGAATCGCTTGATTTTGGATTGGATTGATTAACACTTTATTGGCTATAAATGTGTTGGAATTGAGAAATTTTCTCGTTGGCAGAGTAATTTGCCATTTAAGTATTTATTCACCCCTTTTTTGGCGTTGGATTGAATTTCACAGAGAAAGTGTGAAGAATGTTAAATGGAATTGAGGCAGTTTTCATGGTTCTCTGAATATTTCTGTACACATTTAGCATGTGTGATTAGAACATTAATATATGCAGCTGTAGCTAATGTGTAGTGCAAGTTAATGGCTCAATTTTACACATTGTTTTGCTTGTCTTCAAACCTCTTGGAGTGCAGCGCACATGCAACTGCCTTGCTCTACATCTCTAACGAGACATATATTCTTCGCGTCTTTTGGCAAAATTGGAAATAATTCGATGGGAAGCGGAACAGGGGAAAAAAACATGTTCATTTGAATAGCTAATGCATAAACAGAACAATAATGTTTGGCCTACAATTTATTCTGGGAAAACTTCGTGACACACGAATCTTTAAATATTTATTTTCGTTCACCCAAATTATGTACACACATTAGGACATTCCTTGTGAATTTTCCCCATGTGACACAGGAGGAAAAAAAAGGTAATAGCAATTGATGCATTTCCATTGTAGAAATTGGCTCACAATCGAATAAATTTCAATGACAATCATCTTATTGGTTTGGCTCTTTCGCTTCCACTGATGAGGTCTGTGTGGGTGGAATTTTTAAGAGGACATGTGACAGAATGCCTCTTGCCGGTGTCACATTGGCATCCACATTTGAGAGTGCAACTCTTTTGAGCGCTGTTCACACTTCACTGCAAATCCACATGCATTTTGCATGTGGATTTTTTTAATTGCCCAGCGAGTGGCTGGAATGGTGCGGTGTGCACCCAGCGAGAAGGGCTTATTGTGTGCTGAAAATTGTTGGGAAAATTGCAGGAAAATGACTGAGATGACAAGCAATGAAATGGGATTTTATACACATTTTATGCACTCGACGAAAATGGCTCTACCATGGCGGCTCGCTTCTTTTTCCACCATCAGCTCTCTTTTTTATTAACTGCAACTCGCAATTCACGTGAACTCTCTCTCTGTTTCCCGCCCTTTTGGCCACCAGTGAAAAATGTATTTACTTTTGGTGCTGAGTATCTGGGGAAATGCACAAAGTGGTGTGATAAATTATATTGATTTCTGGGCTACAATTGAATTCAAGTTCGAAACAATACCCAAGAGATATAAATACAATTGACATAAATTTTTCACATCGCCCACCCAGTTTGGCGCTTCTCCTCCACCCACGACATTTTCCCTGATTCGGTCGTATTGTCTGAATTTGTTTGTGTTCACTCATGAAAAATCAATGATTTATTGCATAAAAATCCCAATCGTCTGCCCAGAAGAGTCGCTCTCATGCCGCCCACTTTGGCGCGCCATATGAAAATCCTTGAAGGCGTGCATGCAAAGGAGGCAAATACTGCAGAATAATATTGCTGTACTGAGAGGAAATTACTCACCACTGTGACACGTTAAAAGTGGGTGACTTTTATCTAGCTGGAAACTGATTTGCCAGCGAGAGAGTTTGACGGCCACTCAAGGGAAAAAAAGACAGGTAATGGCATTGCAATGTCGAAAAATATTTGCACGATTTGCTCAATTGTCATATACAATTCCCCTCAGTGCAGAATCGCAAGTGACATGGATATGGCATATTGTGATGTCCTGCGGAGATTGGATTATGCATCAAATCACGAAATCAATCAAATCCCTCGAGCAGCGTTGGTGGAATTTCCACTGCAATTTCCATAAGCCATCGTCGACAGCATAAGGTTCTGCCTCTTTTGCGGCCAAAAATATATGCTGTGCGCGCGGTGTGACTCCCTGGGCATGAGTAATGCGAATGAAACTGCAAAAGGACATCCACCGTGAAAATATGTGAATGTTGGGCATGATGAAGAAAATTATGCAAATACGGCTTGTAAATTGCCACAGCACTTCTCATTGCAGTTCAACATTAATTTGTGTGTAATCTCATGTTGCCCAATATATTTCCCACCCAGTGATTTATGTGCCACTCTTCGGCCCTTCCGTGAAGGGCTGATGCGTCCCGCGGAGATGCAAAGTAACGATAGTGGGCAATAATTAAGCGAACATTTAGCACTCAATCAAGCAAATTGACTTGAATGGCCGCACAGCTTGTTCAAGAATTAATCACGATATCACTTGCAATTTACTTCCCATAATATGTGAACATAATACGAAATCATCTGTTTGCGTGACAAAGTAATTGATGGACCATGCAAAGTCTCCAATTAAATGCCACGCATTGAATAGAGCCTAGTTG